CGACGACGCAACAGGTCCAGCCTTCGCATCGACCCCAGACATGCTGCCTTCGCATCGCCGCCTTCTGCTGCCTTCGCCTATGACTCGCCCTCCCCTGCCTTCAAACCCGCTTCAGCCGCCGCCTTCGCGCCAGGTTCCGCTGCCTTCCTAGGCAACAAACCTATCGACTTCTTCGTCAGCAACGCAGGCCCAGGCCCTGCCTTCGACGATGCAACAGGTCCAGCCTTCGCATCGGCGCCTTCTGCTGCCTTCGCTTCTGACTCGACCTCCCCTGCCTTCAAACCCGCTTCAGCCGCCGCCTTCGCGCCAGCTTCCGCTGCCTTCTTAGGCAACACGCCCACCGACTTCTTCGCAAGCAACGCAGGCCCAGCACCCGCCTTCGACGACGCAACAGGTCCAGCCTTCGCATCGACCCCAGACACGCTCTTCGCATCGCCGCCTTCTGCTGCCTTCGCCTCTGACTCGCCCTCCCCTGCCTTCAAACCCGCTTCAGCCGCCGCCTTCGCGCCAGCTTCCGCTGCCTTCTTAGGCAGCACGCCCATCGACTTCTTCGCAAGCAACGCAGGCCCAGCACCCGCCTTCGACGACGCAACAGGTCCAGCCTTCGCATCGACCCCAGACACGCTCTTCGCATCGCCGCCTTCTGCTGCCTTCGCCTCTGACTCGCCCTCCCCTGCCTTCAAACCCGCTTCAGCCGCCGCCTTCGCGCCACCTTCCGCTGCCTTCTTAGGCAACACGCCCATCGACTTCTTCGCAAGCAACGCAGGCCCAGCACCCGCCTTCGACGACGCAACAGGTCCAGCCTTCGCATCGACCCCAGACACGCTCTTCGCATCGCCGCCTTCTACTGCCTTCGCCTCTGACTCGCCCTCCCCTGCCTTCAAACCCGCTTCAGCCGCCGCCTTCGCGCCACCTTCCGCTGCCTTCTTAGGCAACACGCCCATCGACTTCTTCGCAAGCAACAAAGGCCCAGCACCCGCCTTCGACGACGCAACAGGTCCAGCCTTCGCATCGCCGCCTTCTGCTGCCTTCGCCTCTGACTCGCCCTCCCCTGCCTTCAAACCCGCTTCAGCCGCCGCCTTCGCGCCAGCTTCCGCTGCCTTCTTAGGCAACACGCCCATCGACTTCTTCGTCAGCAACGCAGGCCCAGCACCCGCCTTCGACGACGCAACAGGTCCAGCCTTCGCATCGACCCCAGACACGCTCTTCGCATCGCCGCCTTCTGCTGCCTTCGCCTCTGACTCGCCCTCCCCTGCCTTCAAACCCGCTTCAGCCGCCGCCTTCGCGCCAGGTTCCGCTGCCTTCTTAGGCAACACGCCCATTGACTTCTTCAAAAGCAACGCAGGCCCAGCACCCGCCTTCGACGACGCAACAGGTCCAGCCTTCGCATCGGCGCCTTCTGCTGCCTTCGCCTCTGACTCGACCTCCCCTGCCTTCAAACCCGCTTCAGCCGCCGCCTTCGCGCCACCTTCCGCTGCCTTCTTAGGCAACACGCCCATTGACTTCTTCGCAAGCAACGCAGGCCCAGCACCCGCCTTCGACGACGCAACAGGTCCAGCCTTCGCATCGACCCCAGACACGCTCTTCGCATCGCCGCCTTCTGCTGCCTTCGCCTCTGACTCGCCCTCCCCTGCCTTCAAACCCGCTTCAGCCGCCGCCTTCGCGCCAGGTTCCGCTGCCTTCCTAGGCAACAAACCTATCGACTTCTTCGTCAGCAACGCAGGCCCAGGCCCTGCCTTCGACGATGCAACAGGTCCAGCCTTCGCATCGGCGCCTTCTGCTGCCTTCGCCTCTGACTCGACCTCCCCTGCCTTCAAACCCGCTTCAGCCGCCGCCTTCGCGCCAGCTTCCGCTGCCTTCTTAGGCAACACGCCCACCGACTTCTTCGCAAGCAACGCAGGCCCAGCACCCGCCTTCGACGACGCAACAGGTCCAGCCTTCGCATCGACCCCAGACACGCTCTTCGCATCGCCGCCTTCTGCTGCCTTCGCCTCTGACTCGCCCTCCCCTGCCTTCAAACCCGCTTCAGCCGCCGCCTTCGCGCCAGCTTCCGCTGCCTTCTTAGGCAGCACGCCCATCGACTTCTTCGCAAGCAACGCAGGCCCAGCACCCGCCTTCGACGACGCAACAGGTCCAGCCTTCGCATCGACCCCAGACACGCTCTTCGCATCGCCGCCTTCTGCTGCCTTCGCCTCTGACTCGCCCTCCCCTGCCTTCAAACCCGCTTCAGCCGCCGCCTTCGCGCCAGCTTCCGCTGCCTTCTTAGGCAACAAACCTATCGACTTCTTCGCAAGCAACGCAGGCCCAGCACCCGCCTTCGACGACGCAACAGGTCCAGCCTTCGCATCGACTCCAGACACGCTCTTCGCATCGCCGCCTTCTGCTGCCTTCGCCTCTGACTCGACCTCCCCTGCCTTCAAACCCGCTTCAGCCGCCGGGGGGGGGGGGGGTTCCGCTGCCTTCTTAGGCAACAAACCCATCGACTTCTTCGCAAGCAACAAAGGCCCAGCACCCGCCTTCGACGACGCAACAGGTCCAGCCTTCGCATCGGCGCCTTCTGCTGCCTTCGCCTCTGACTCGACCTCCCCTGCCTTCAAACCCGCTTCAGCCGCCGCCTTCGCGCCAGCTTCCGCTGCCTTCTTAGGCAACAAACCTATCGACTTCTTCGCAAGCAACGCAGGCCCAGCACCCGCCTTCGACGACGCAACAGGTCCAGCCTTCGCATCGACCCCAGACACGCTCTTCGCATCGCCGCCTTCTGCTGCCTTCGCCTCTGACTCGCCCTCCCCTGCCTTCAAACCCGCTTCAGCCGCCGCCTTCGCGCCACCTTCCGCTGCCTTCTTAGGCAACACGCCCATCGACTTCTTCGCAAGCAACGCAGGCCCAGCACCCGCCTTCGACGACGCAACAGGTCCAGCCTTCGCATCGACCCCAGACACGCTCTTCGCATCGCCGCCTTCTACTGCCTTCGCCTCTGACTCGCCCTCCCCTGCCTTCAAACCCGCTTCAGCCGCCGCCTTCGCGCCACCTTCCGCTGCCTTCTTAGGCAACACGCCCATCGACTTCTTCGCAAGCAACAAAGGCCCAGCACCCGCCTTCGACGACGCAACAGGTCCAGCCTTCGCATCGACCCCAGACACGCTCTTCGCATCGCCGCCTTCTGGTGGCTTCGCCTCTGACTCGCCCTCCCCTGCCTTCAAACCCGCTTCAGCGGCCGCCTTCGCGCCAGCTTCCGCTGCCTTCTTAGGCAACAAACCTAACGACTTCTTCGCAAGCAACGCAGGCCCAGCACCCGCCTTCGACGACGCAACAGGTCCAGCCTTCGCATCGACCCCGGACACGCTCTTCGCATCGCCGCCTTCTGCTGCCTTCGCCTCTGACTCGCCCTCCCCTGCCTTCAAACTCGCTTCAGCCGCCGCCTTCGCGCCACCTTCCGCTGCCTTCTTAGGCAACAAACCTATCGACTTCTTCGCAAGCAACGCAGGCCCAGGCCCTGCCTTCGACGATGCAACAGGTCCAGCCTTCGCATCGGCGCCTTCTGCTGCCTTCGCCTCTGACTCGCCCTCCCCTGCCTTCAAACCCGCTTCAGCCGCCGCCTTCGCGCCACCTTCCGCTGCCTTCTTAGGCAACACGCCCATCGACTTCTTCGCAAGCAACGCAGGCCCAGCACCCGCCTTCGACGACGCAACAGGTCCAGCCTTCGCATCGACCCCAGACACGCTCTTCGCATCGCCGCCTTCTACTGCCTTCGCCTCTGACTCGCCCTCCCCTGCCTTCAAACCCGCTTCAGCCGCCGCCTTCGCGCCACCTTCCGCTGCCTTCTTAGGCAACACGCCCATCGACTTCTTCGCAAGCAACAAAGGCCCAGCACCCGCCTTCGACGACGCAACAGGTCCAGCCTTCGCATCGCCGCCTTCTGCTGCCTTCGCCTCTGACTCGCCCTCCCCTGCCTTCAAACCCGCTTCAGCCGCCGCCTTCGCGCCAGGTTCCGCTGCCCTCTTAGGCAACAAACACATCGATGTCTTCGCAAGCAACGCAGGCCCAGGACTCGCCTTTGAGGATGCAACAGGTCCAGTCTTCGCATCGCCGCCTTCTGCTGCCTTCGCCTCTGACTCGCCCTCCCCTGCCTTCAAACCCGCTTCAGCCGCCGCCTTCGCGCCAGCTTCCGCTGCCTTCTTAGGCAACACGTCCATCGACTTCTTCGTCAGCAACACAGGCCCAGGCCCTGCCTTCGACGACGCAACAGGTCCAGCCTTCGCATCGACCCCAGACACGCTCTTCGCATCGCCGCCTTCTGCTGCCTTCGCCTCTGACTCGCCCTTCCCTGCCTTAACACCAGGTTCCGCCGCCGCCTTCGCGCCAGGTTCCGCTGCCTTCTTAGGCAACACGCCCATCGACTTCTTCGCAAGCAACGCAGGCCCAGGTTCCGCACTGGATTCAGCCGCCGGTGCAGTTCTCGTATGTGTGATATTAGCTACAGTCTCATACATGTCTCGTTCTTCTTTGTGAGGTTCCTCTATAGCGGCATTTGTGGTGGCTGCGTCTTGTGCTTCCTCTTCGCCCTTGGGTTCGGGTTCGCGAAACACTGCTGTGCTCGTCTGTTCATCCTGTCCTGTGGTTGCCGCGTTGATGCCTGTCCCGTCGTTCTCTGTTCGCGTCTTGTTCTGGCATTCTAGGGACTGTTTCTCATAGCCGGGTTGGCCTGCGTCTCGGCCAACTTCTGGCGCTTCTGTATGGGGCCCCGCCCTTGTAGCAAACTGTGTCGCTGATGCAGGTTCCCCCAGCACAGAATTGCTTTTAGACAATGAACGAGGGTCATTCAATATATCTTTGCTTGCAAGCTTGTGCTGTGCAGTTTCATATGGAGGTTTTTCTATCTTTGAGCGATCTTCGAGAGTCTCGGAGCCATTCCCTGAACCAGCATCACAGACGTCGTCGCAAATGTGTATTCCTTTTTTAATCCTCTCCCTCTCACTAGTGCATTCTGTTAATCTGGAACATGTGCTTCTCTTAGGTCAAGCGGCCTCCAGTCATGTTATCTGTCGAAGCCTCAATAATGTGGGTCGTCGCGTGGAGGCCTTCTGGTGGCTGTGTCGCACCTGCATTCGATTGTATGTAGTACAATCACTTCTACACTGCACCTCTAAAGGCTTACCGAGGCTCTCACGATCGTTCACGGCAGGGTGATAGTGTTGCGGTTCCACCCCCTGCTGCTCCGACTTTGCGATGAGCTGAGGCACGGAAGGACCTATATCTTTTTTCACGCGGCTGCCACGTTCACCTTCTACAGATGCAGAGTCTTTCACCACTCTCCAACCAGAGCCTGAATACACAGAAAAAGTGTTTTCAACTTTAAAAAACTCTGTGCCACAGAGAGGCGCAGCTTAAGCGGTTCGTTTGGCTTTGCAACCCCTAACACCCTCATCTGTCTCTTACGGGAGTCCAAGATATCTGTAATTAGCCCAGAGCACACGTCTACGAGAGCCTCTCCGCCACATGACGCCTGCAAACAGCATATTGGAAGGAATAAACAAGGAAAGATGCGTGACAGGGAATCTCACATGGCACAGCTGCAGCTGCTTCTGACTTGCAGGTCGCCCTCTCTTAAGGAGCTGTAACTCTTCCAGGCCAGGTATTTACATGTTAAGCTGGTGGGACGCACCTTCCTGGAGGCAGCTAACTGGCTCTGCAGGCTTTCTACCCTCTTCTGGATTGACCTGACTATAGAAACGAGTCTGAATGTACAAGAGGGTTCACAACCGCAGTAGCACGTTTCACACACCAGTTCTGGGCCAGCCCATACGCACATCCAGTTTGGCAACCAGGCTGTTCCCAGTGAAGGGGAGCATGAACTTCCAGTTCCCCAGCGTGCCTTGGTCATACCGTTCATTCTCTTCTTTCAATTGGGTATTTTCTTCTTTGAAGCCCTCCTGAATTGTTCTGCATTGCTCTCGCGCGGCCTGAATACTCAAGCATTGCACGTTTACGTACCTGAAGGACTTTCTTCGTAGCGAGCACGCTATGCCGCGAATTTCGCTATAGTCTGTCGTAAATAAATAAAAACAAATTACTTGTTTGTCACCTTAAGTTCCATGGCCAAGCGTCGGGATCGAGATGAAAGCATCTGCCCGTCAAGTACGTCTCTTAAAGAAGCATCAAGCTCAAGAGGCGGCTGGTCCTCATTTAACCTTCCTCCACTCTTTCTCTCCGATGCCCCAAGTGTGGCATTAGTCATTCCTGTCTTGTCAAATATACCATCACGGCCAACGAGAGCTGCTGTTTGCACTGGCGGAACAGGTGGCGCCACGCTCTGCGAGCGCCCGGGGACTATAACTACTGGCATAGGTGCCTTAGACAGACTGCGTGAGCGGTCAACGCTAGCAGCTGACGCGGTCCTGCACAGGCCTGCCGGCTGCATGAGTATGGGTGCCGCAGTATCCCTGTTGCTGCCAACAGCTGGAGCCCTCTGGTAACTGAAACCACCAATCAGAGCAGGCATTCAAAGGCCCTTAATGGTGAAGGTTGAGACCATAAGGAGGCGCCAAGACTTCGCAGCGACCAATTATAAGTAGGGGTGCGACGAGTAGACACGAAAACTAGGGGGAACAGAAAAATTTGCATACGGCGGCGAGTGCCGAACACACGGGGAAAAAACAGCAGAGACTACGGAGTTGTGGAGCGATGAGGCTAATCAAGCACAGATTCTAGAAAATGTGCAATGGAAAGTGGATCCTTACATCTCTCCACTCGGGCCCATAAAAATCTCCATTTGCCCCCCACGCTGCAGCACACGAGAGGAGATGACACAAGTGGCTGCTCGGCAGAAGCAGAATTGCGACTCTCTGCTCCTGCAAGAGATAGGCTTCTAGAACGGAAAAATCCCACATGCAGCTACTACACAAATGTTGAACGCTACAACGGCGCTGCTAGCACTGTGATACTAGGCAAGAGTGAGGCCGGACCTGCTGCTAGGGCCAAACCACACTGGAGGCTCACTCGGCCACGTTGGTGACCAAGGAGTCAAGCTGTGCTGCCACTTACGTTGCGTTGCGCCGTGTACGGTGCGTATGACGCAGCAAGTTGAGCAGAAGATGCGGCCCCTGCCCTTGCTGTAGCTGTTGAATGTGATGACGACAACCCTGGGCCTGCTGTAGGGTAGGGCGGGGAGGCGCCAGAGGCGGTGACCCCATTCGTGGCCTGCACTGCTGCGACCATTGGGTTGGCCACTTGACCCCCATACAGTGGAGTTATTACAGGGCCAAGATCTGGTCTAAATAATGACGCTGCTGGTCTTACCAGCGGGTAATTCATGCCCTGCCGGGTCTGGTTAAAGTAAGTGGCTTGCGAAGGCTGCGCAGTGGTGCTGCCTCCTACATTAGCAGAGGCTCCAGGTGGGCGTGTAGCCATTAGCGCAGGCCTAGCGTGGCTCGCCTGTCTCTGGACACTGGCGACAGTGCGACCCATGGAATGACCAATGGACACACTGCGGCCTGACCGGGACGAACCGCCAGTCTCTGGCCCAGTGTGTCGCTGAGGAGGGCACGACTGCTTCGATGAGGAACGTACTGGTGGGAGGGGTTTGGTCTCTTTGGGTGCGCTAAGGCCTAAAAAGATCTTGCAAGGCAGCATGCAGTCGCTGCAGTTTGCGAAGTGCTGGCTTCGGGTGGTGTCCATGGCACTGGGGAGAGGCCCGTAGACTAGCTGACCACCTTCCGCAGCACGCGCTCCCTCCGCTGCCTGCCTCAAGTCCAGCTGCGGGACAGGACCCATGCTACTGCTGGACCGACCCTCCGGGTTGGACATGCTGTGTGCGGGCCTGCCAGTGGGGGGAAGCCCGCCCGCGTTGCGCCGGCTTTTGTTTGAGGGCTTCATCTTTCTGGATGCTTTGTTTGATCTAATTTACTGAAATAAGGCAGAAGAGAAGATGGGATAAAGTAGATCCACAGCCTCTGGGGACAGCTGGCTATGCTTGATGCCTTTGGCTTGACTGTGGCGTGCTCTCGTCCCTCGACCAGAAAGTGAGCCAGTGGCGCCTCTAAATCCAAAGAGGCTATAATATATGAGTGAAATGTATTTCTCTGTGAGCATATCTGTCACAATTGACAGCAGGAAACAATGCCAAGAAAGGCAATTGCAACACACAAGAACTACTGGCAACGCCAATCGCGCCGCTGGATGTCACAAGGCTACTGTCAAAGCTGAGGCTCTGGATTACGTCCACCTGCTAGTCCAGAATTGCTCTTTGGCATAAAATATTGCCATCGGCGGAATTAAGAGATTTTTTGGCACAGGTAAAAAACAAGAATAATATTAACATGCACGCGTAACGAGGTGCATATCTCGATCGGGCCGTGGCTTGATCGAAGGGACAGCACAAGAAACCCAAACAAATCCCCATATGCAGCTCTTACATTTTGAACCCCTTTCTTTCTTCAGTCCGCAAGCTCATGCTTATTCAATGGAGCGAGAGGGCATAACTCGTGCTTTCAAAGTTCAGGGGGACCAGTAGTGCCGGAACAAACAACAGCCTGGCCACACTACACTTTATTCCCAGGCTCGCCTGCTAGGACACATGCCCATAACACCACAGCATGGCAGCAGCCTCTCAAAATGTGCACGTGGAAGTTTTTGCGTTCTCGTTCTTAAACATATCCGGTAAATCAGTCTGCACATGCTTAGATTAAGATAGTTTGCACTCTGAGAAAGTTTCGGACGAATCCCAGAACCTTAAAGTCTCCTAAGAAGAGCGGGAAAGAACAAGTGGCCAAATCAGCACCTGTGGCAGTGATTCAAGCGGACTGGTGTAGTGATCAGTGGTTTCGACTTACGCCGAGTGTGTTGTCTTCTCTAGATCTACATTTGGAGAGTCGCTAGCAAACCCCTGAGCTGCTAGTCCTGCGTGGAAGGTGTTTAAATGCCACAGGACTGCTTAGCAGGAGAATAAATATCTCTTCATTAAGGAGGCCGCGGATATATTCAACTTAGTATTTTGCACAGCATAGGTGGGAATTTTTGTCATCCCCCCCCTGGAAGAGGCTCACATATTCCGATATTCAAAGAATGAGGAATTGATGAGAGAAAAGCGGATAAGCCTCTGAAAATGCCACTGGAAAAGTGGAAGCATGCGAATACAAAGGAGGGAGTCGTGTTGATGCGCAGTGCCAGTTAGATGACAGAAATGAATTCATTTCACGTAGGGTAGTTAGTCACAAAGATGAAGAATGCGTGTCACGGGCACTCTGATAGCCGAGGGGCACTCCGCAATCTGTTAGGACTGGAACTGTGAGCAGGCCCTGCAATCTAGACCACTAAATGCGCGATGAGGGAGACTGTTGCAGAAACGAAATATACCCAGAGCTTAGCAGTGACGAACACAGAATATATTGAAACCTTCACTGAATTCAAGATGGCATGTCGAAGACCCAGTGGGTATGAGGGAAAGCCCATTCTTGGCCCGGCGTTTGGCTTGCTGCTGCTCGTTTCGTAGGAATTGTGGACTAGAGTGAATTCACAACATTGTGGTCAAATGACGTGCATGCTCAGATGGTAACACAGTACTGAGAAGCTTTGCTCGGCAGTACTTTTCGTTGCTCGTGCTTCGGCTGTGTAATATTTAAAGGTGTTGGAAATTTCCGCATTGCTTAAGAGCAGTAAGTCAGGGGTTAATCTACTGTCCTTATTAATCGTTACGTTGGTCCCAGAAACGAACAAAATAGAACCGAAGTCCTATCCTTTTATTCCATGCTGGAGTATTACAGAAAACCGTGGGCCAGCAATTTTATTCATTCGCTCAAGCAAGCCATCGTCCGCAGGCGAGGTTGCAGAGCATCTCGAGGCTCTAGAAAAGTCAAACTCTTGGACATGCTTTGCCTCAGTCTCCTGCTTAACAGCGATTTTATGGCAGGCTTTCCGCGAAATGAAGTCAAATTGACCTTGGCGGTATATAATTAGAACATGTACTCTCCTCGCAAAGCTTCTTTTGTATTGCCGCAAGTCCCAGGAATGCAGCAACATCAGCCGGGATACGCACTTTATTCTAGACTGGCAGCATTCCACGAGTGTATACTGCATCCAGTAGAGACTGCACTAGAAAGATACGAAAAATGCTTGGTCATTCAGAGTCTCCTCAGGCGCGACAGCCCCAACGAGGGGATCACGACTTTAAAAGCATGCCACTTGTGAGTAAATCTCAAAATGTGAAAATCCCAGGGAAGTGGCTCGAGTAAATACAATGTACACAGAAGTCGCTAAACGAAAATACAGTGGCATTCCAATCAAGCAGACAGCTGTTTGAGCGTACGGCCAGGCGGCAGCCGGCTAGAAGGTCCCAAACGTATTTGCAGTGTACACACCACCCTTCATTTCATCACTCCATAGCAGAGAAATTACACTGCGCCGCCAGCTTTTGCGCTGGAAGCATATGCGAAGACAAGTCCCAAGTAGCTCGCTCAAAAATCTTTCCCTGCTGGCGAAATGGCGGGCAACTCAGAAAGGACGAGTTCCAGAAGAAACACGAGCGTGCCTGATACTTCTGTTTTCAATTCAGCCAGATGCGTGGGATCTACACGGCATTTTTCCAATGCAACCTTGTACAGGCCGCCTCATCTCAGTGCGATATCCTTTAACCAAAGCAGACTTCCGCTTCCACTCAATCTGCACCAAGGAAAGGCGAAGAGCTATTGGCGCGGTAGCTCACAGATGATGCGCCCAATGAGGAGACATTAGACCTCTCTTGCTGCACTGTTCTTCCTTTCCACCCCGTCGGAGGGAGCGCAAAGCCAACTATGTGGCGCTGCCGGCTTGTGGAAATCCAGGCGTGGGCAGCGGGCGGAGTCATGCGGCATGCCGGCCTCAGTCAAGGTAGCGGGAGCATGCCAAAGGGGACCAGCCTAGGCACAAACCGGGGACAAAAGGACGCAGCAGACACTAGAGCAGCAGTGGCAGCAGCAACAGAAGGAAAGAACCCGCTTTGCAGCAGCGGCAACTCATGTGTGTGTCTGACTCGGCTTATTCCCTACATGCAGACGCGGCAGGCCCTCTCAGACAGAGACGACCAAGGGGACTCAGGAGCTCAAGGAGCTCCAGTGCGCCGAAAAAAGATGTTCTACTTTGCTTTACCATGAAGACATTACTGGTGCTCCTGTCCAGCCGCCCCAGATGGCTTCCTCACATATGCAGGTTTTTGAAGACGGATTTGAATCCGCGTCTTCTTCTTAGAAGCGTTTATTGGGCAACTGGGCAAAAGCCTCTAAATAGTCCAAAGTTTGGGCCTCCCTAGCAGGTTCTTTGCTCCAGTCACCCACGCACAAATGGCTTAATGGAGGACCTACAGCACTGCACTGTCTTCAAAACTGTCCCCTCAACTCAGCGCCTACAACTACCTATCCTGCCCTTGCTATTCTCTCATGTATTTTTCGCAGTAGTTGCTGTCGTTTTTGCTGCATGGGCTGTAGCAGCATGAGCTGCTAAAGTTGCATTCTTTCCTGATTGAAAAAATAGTGCGTGCTCGCAATCTCCGGAGCATAAAACACCTCTAGTAGTCTCCAGACTTTTCGGAGACGCATTTCTACCGGAAAGGAGTATGCTTAAACGCAGAATACCCCTTATTGGCAGACGTGGATTCGACGCTCTGTGCCTAGCCAGTGTGCAGCCGTCGCGTTCATTAACTGCAGCAATACTTTTAGTAGAAAGCAACGTCGGACTCACCCGCAGTGACAGCAGCAGATATTTTCTGCATCGTATGGTAGGAAAATGTGCAGTCAAAACTAAGCAGCAGCAGAAATTGTTGCAGTGTCGAATGCCAGACAGCACGGGCACCAGCCACCTCCTAGACAAATAATGAAAAATAGGAGCGAATGCGGCAGCAGCGAGATCACCAGAGCTGCTAGACCACGCATTTACATCATCGGTAGACAGCTCAGCAGTACAAAGGTCCAAGAGGTTCGTTCTTAGAACTAGGAAACCTTCGCTGGGCAGACAATGAGCAACAATAGTAGCACCACCCCCTGCCGCTGCAACTGCTGCTGCGCTTCAGCAAGGTGGTGCACTGTAGCTAGTATGATGACAATCTAGATATCAACGCCTGCATCCAAAAACTGTTGCACTGCCTTTAAGGCTTTCACAGCATCACTTCGCTGCATCCGCAAAGCAGCCACAACAGCAAGCATAACCCTAGCAGCATTTCATCTACCGCATTTGCTTCCAGTGAAGCAAAACCAAATGTGCGTTCCCGCAAAGCAACCACTGCTGCGGCAAAGAACGGCCGTCAAGCACGGGAAACATGCATGGGGAGCATCACACCACATTGCAGATTAGCACCCTCAGGCCTACCTCAGCAGCGGCAGCATGCGCTGCAGCGATTCCCATTGTGGCTTTACCAAGCACAGCCATTGCTGCGATTTCAGTCTCTTTCTGTTTCAAGGCACCAAGACCATTCAAATCGAAACGCGTAACTCCCTGCTGCTGCTGCAACTGATGCTCCTGTTGGTGTTGCCGCGAAGGCAACTCCTGCTTCCTTTGCGCTGGCTGCTGCCCCTGGTGAAACTGTTGCTGCTGTCTTAATGGGCTCCATGTGCTTAGAGGCAGCAGCTGTTGCAGCAAGCCCTGCAGCGCGCGCACGGTCCTAACACTGGACATGATGCGGCTGCTGCTACGGAGACGGCTGTCCGCACCGCCTGGTACTTCAAGCGCTGCAAAATACTTATCATCATCAGCAGCAGAAGCAAGCGCGGCGGCAGCTGCGGCTGCTGTGTCATCTGCTACCACTGCTGCAGGAGTCTCTGGTCTGCAGAGCCTCTTGCATACACCCAACGCCTCGCGCATCAAAGCAGGGTGCGGCTTGCATGCACCTGAACAGGACAAGGGCATGAGAAGTCACCCAAGAACAGTAATACATACTACTGGAGCGTTTCCAACAGCAGTTTACAGTGCTGTTTCTGCTGCAGATGGTGCTGCACGCAGCGACCAGGTGCATCCATTCCAACTGCTGGGGACCTCCTCAATAGGCAAGCCCTGCCAACGGTGTTCACAGGCATGCAGTAGGAAGCTCGGAGCACGCGCCATCTAATGACTATGTATCCATACAATGCTCCTGCAGTGGATAAACTGAGATATGCTGGTCCCCAGAAACTCCCCTGGCTGTCCCAGTGCATGCGCCAAGGAGTGCACATATGCACGAATGAGTACCTGACTTGACATCTTCGAGATACTGGATCAGATGCTCCACGCTACGCCGGCAACACTCAAAGGCCTCTATTTGCTGCTGCAGTCTAACAGGTGCTGCTGCTGCTGCAGTTTCTGTCGCTGCGACAGTCAAAAGAGAAACAGCAAAGCACTATAGACGTCGCGGTGTGAAGTAAGATAACGGAACAGGGAGAAACAAAGAGCCAGACTTGCCCAAGGGATGTAGTGAAACGCAAACATACTCGTGCTATCCAGGAGAAAATCACTCAGCCGCAGAGATAGTAAAAACAGACACAAAATCGCGTACGCATGAACAGCATACATATCAGCGAGGGGAAGCTTCACTCACTGCGCTTTTTCGTCTCCATCAGCACCCCAATTGTGTCTGTCTTCTTCAGCACTGCCTCAGCAGCGAGCTTGGCCATTATACTCTACACATAAAAAGATTCACAGTACGCACAATGAATAGATATGCAAAGATATACTCTGCCCTTCCGGTGCCTGCCTCATCTATTGCTTCGCCACTCCATACTGAGCGCATGCATTGGCCTATATGTGTGTCAAATTCTTTTCTTCCTTGTCTGCATTTCTGTTTTGTGTTTCTCCCTGTCTTCTCCGCCTTCGGCACTGTCTACTGGCCCCTCGGCAGCCTCAGCTGCATCCACCTTATGTCTTGACTCAATAGCAAACGCACCACCACCCACACCGGGAGAAGCACCGACAGCACCATCCAGAGTAGCAGCCTATTAGGAACAGCTACAGCAGCGACAAGTGAACTTGACAACAAAACACACACCGTTTGGACTCTCAAGTGCACGGGCGTCAATTGCAGCTCTCGCTCCCCACTACTTTTGGGGCAAATGATGTTGCTGCTGCTGTCACTCCAACTGCAGTTGTTGCTCGTGCTTCTGCAGAGGTAACGAAAGCACTGGGCAGGAGGCCTGTGCAGCCCCGTGGAACTCTGCGCCGAAGGCCTGAAAAAGAGAAGTAAAGGGCCATCTCCAGCCCACTCAGTCTGTACGCCCAAACAACAACCCAGAACAGGCAGGGCTAAATCACCAAAATAAAGTTCTATGTCGCAGCACTGATTGGAATCCCGTACAGGCTTAAGACAACTGTCTAGCCCAAACGGGCTGGCGCCTCAGCGAAGGCGCTAAGGCCGCCTGCAATGGCGGCAGCAGCGCTACCATTTGCAGCAATCTTAACATGAGCAGCACCTGAGTTAGCAATGACATAAGCTCTGGGGAAAGCTGCTCTTGTGCGCATGCATTCTGAGCCATATAGAGTCCTAGGGGAAGCAACGTCTTGTCCAACGCCTGGCGCAGCAACACCGCCTCTCCTATCATTGCGATGCTGCCACTGCTTTTGCTGTCGCGCTGCAGCAAAGACGGGGGAAGCTCCGCTGACTCCGTGACAGACAGGGCCTTGAAGTTCGCTGTATCCCTGCGTGGGCCTGCGCCATGTAACGGCCACAACATGGGGCGACTGCGGCAGCAGCAGCTGCTGCACTGGTGCCAATGCCCTGGCTGCGCTAACAATGCGCTAATAACGCTACTTCTCATGAAGGAACCACTGTTGAATCGAAATGCACAGCAATACTTGTAGCACACAGGAAGGTAGGACGAGGCGGAGCAGCTTACCAAGCAGGAGGCCAATGACCTTCCCATGTTGACTGATTTTCTGCTGCTGATGTTGCTGCTGTTGCCGTTGCTCCTCCTGCCACACCTGAAGGCGCGCTGCGTGGGACGCTATAGCCAGCAGCACCACGGAGTTGATGCACCTGCAAGCACAGTCAAAACGGGAAACGTAGCCGCAGTAACAGCAGCACGCTCAGCATCCGCACCAGCAACGTTATTAGCAACAGAAGCAGCAAGCCCTCAGCCCTCCTTGAAATACACGCACACTTCGGGCACGTTCCGGCTACTGCAGCTGCTGCAGCTGCTGCTGCAGCTTCTCTCGCCGTTACAGCTACAGCTGCCGCCATTGCAGCTTTCGCCAATGCTGGTTCTGTTGCTGCTGTCGTTGGGGTCGGCTGGATCTGATATCATCGTAGCAGCAGCTGAAGAATCATCTCGCTCTTCAGTGCTTCGCATGCTATGTCCCGAGTGATCCTGCTGGCAGTTCTTTTGCCTTCTCTGAAGATTTAGCTCCTGCTCATCTTGCGGTCGTTGCTGCTGTTGTTGCTGTTGCTGAGGCTCCTGCTGTTCATCTTCTGGGGACCGGAAATGTTGTTCTTGGTGTTGCTGGTCTTGTTGAGGCAGCCCTTCGCCAGTGAGATCACTTTCCTCGCACACGCTCCTGCGGCTAAAACTGGACCTCCGCCTTTTGGGACTGAAACCTGTGAGCTTTCCGTCGCAGCTTTGCAGCAGTTGTTCCTGCTGCTGTTTCTGTCTCCGGTGACGCCGCTGCACAGGAGGCGAGGAAGGATGCATCATACGAGTCACCTTAAACCCTTCCCGGTGTATTAAAGGCAGAAGAGTTGTAGAAGTGATTATGCTACTACAGGAACCACCCAGTGGCGGCGCATGCAAGCAATAGCAGCAGCAGTAGCCCATATGTCTGCTTCATTGCCGAGCTAGCTTAGGTTGCTCTTCGTCAGCATTATTTCCCTCTTTCACTGTTATTGCTGGAGTTTGGTCTCATTCCAGCTGTTTTCTTTTTGCAAGGTCAAGACATGCAGCTACTGCATAATGCACGAACTGGGGCCCCCCTCCCAAGGGGGGCCCCTGTACATGAAGTTGCACAAGGGGCCTGCCGGTGTTCAGGCGTTACCCGGGAAATTCTAGTTACAAAACTGTTGTTACTTCATCTGCAGCAGATGCCTGCGTTCGTGCTGCCACTGCTGCCATTCAAGGAGGACCTTGGTGGCACACAATAGCTGCCGTCTGTGCTGCTGGAGTTGCTTCAGGGGATGTCGCAGATCACTGCCGCTGTTGCGGTTCACTTGAATTCCACGCCTGATGCGGCAAGTCAGAAGCGTGTAAAAGCGATATTCAGCACGCTGAGTGGCTGGCTGCATGTTTTCACAGCGAGCTCGATCTAGGTCTAATGAGCCATAGCTAGCTGGAGTCAGGCGCAGCACTTTGAGCCGCAGCCGCAGTGCTGCCTGGACAGTTTCTAACGGACTTCGCGAATTGGGTAGGACGCAGTTTTACTTGTTGCTCATCAACGGTGTTTCGCGTGAAGAACTGAGGTTGCGGATTCACGATTTTACGGGGGCTTGCGCCGCTCTGCATTTGAAAAATGTAAATTTTATTTAGGGAGAAGCCAGTTTAACATAAAATGGTCATTTGCAGCTTCTTGTTGGCTGACACTTCGAAATGTACTTCAAGCAGCCAGCGGAGGACAGCACCATCCATGTCCGGTACAGGGAACATAGCACAATGCTATCAGCATCGGCTGCCCCTGCAGCTGTAGTATATGCTCCAGTAGACGTGGAAGACATCACCGTGTCTTGTTGAGGGGGTTGCACTCTTTGATCGCATTGTCTTTGGCTTGGCGCCGTCACACTATTGATTTTGCACATGTTCTACAACGTTTCGTTTAGTCCTCTTGCACATGCACTGTATCAGTTTCCTCTTGTCTGCTGAGAGCTTCCACTACTCAGAATCTATGACTTGCTTGGTCTCTAGGGCCATGTTTGTAGTACTTAAAACCACTCAGTGGAAGGCCTGTGAAGAGTCTTGTCTTCGTATGGAAGGCCACCGATTCACATTGGACAAGAACGTTGACTGTGGTGATCTCTTGCTTATCGGTAGGCGTTCCGGCTCGGCTATTGTCGTCGATGCTGTTTCAAGGAACTTTGGAAAATTTCGTCAGTTCGCCTCTTGTAAACATCGCTAGCAGCAATGGGCATCGTTTGAATTAGAACATCAATTCGTCGTGGAAAGAGCCATAGCAAGGGCGTGTCGCAGCCGAACGCTTTATTATCGTAAGAGAGTTACGAAGAAGGGAGACTCTGCATTTGTTTTGCGAAGCCTATGAGCCGTTGGTGGTAGGGGTGAGTGCATGTCGCAGACAGCGTGCATGAGATGCTACTGTAGTTTCTGCTGGCACCGAAATATATGCTGACCCGCAAGTTGGCCCCGACAGCCGTTGTGCACACCGTCGATCGTGAGCGTGTCAAGAAAGGAAACGGGATTTTGAAGATACTTTGGTGTGTTGTGCAGTTTTGCGCTGTGGCGAAAGCGAACTCACGTCTTGCCAAAATATCTTGTGCTTACGCACTCCCAAGGTCTCTAAGTCCTTAGTCCCAGAGCGGCTGAAGATGTGAAGACAACTATTCGAGTTCGCTCGTTTAACGTGTTGTGATGCATGGAGCAAGGCCAGCCTTACACTTATGTGTTCTTGAAACGGGGAGGGAAGCAGGAACAAAACGGCAAATAAGAACATAGCACAAGTAGCATTGCCCTTCCCAGACTAGCTGATGGCTAGAAGGCAAAGTAAATTGAAGAAGAGCAGACGTTTTTCAACGCTGATCAAGCTGCAGCAACAATTACTGATGCGGGGCAAATATGAGGGGCTGAGCACAGCGTTTCTCTTTCATTTCTCCTTCCAGTTTTCCTATATCCTAGTCGGTGTCCTTCCTGCGTGCCTGTTATAATTGTCACATTGCTGCTGTCTATGCGGATATCCAACAACTAATTAGGCAGTTGGCTTGTTTGCTGGCGGACTAGCAAGCTGGCGTGCAACCACATATTAATACGGACACTTGGAAAGCTGCTGGTTTGGCTAGTGCTGCTGAAACTATTAATATAGTGCCTGATTCTGCTCCTTCCGATGCTGTCATTGCTGTTGCTCTTTCTGGAGCACAAAACGTCAGGGGCAGCGACAGCTGCAAGAGATGCTTGTGGGGACTGCTGAAGCAGCAGATGAAAGAAGCTGCACACTGCACCGAGAGCGTACTCAGTTGTTCGTACAGCAACTACCTTGAGAGGTAAAGATTACTCACACGCTTTCTGTGCACATTGCAGATCTGATCCATATGAGTAAAGGAAAAACAGGATGGTGCTCCCAAAAGGCGGGTGCAGTACTACTGCTCCAAGCGGACCCCCGGGATGGGGTGAGCCATTTGTTGTGAAATTGAGACAGATGCCAGGTTCTTTATCTGCTTTTTGCCACTTCGCTGCACCTGTTGCTGCACGCTTGTCTTGTAGCTGTTCGCTGCTGGCTTATTCGTCGTCGCTGTTTTTTTGTGCTTGTGTTTTCACCCCTGCAGACAGTGCTTCCGTTTCCGCTGCTGCTGTCCTTGCTAGTGGCTGTGCCCCCGTTCTCTTTGCAGCTAGACCTTAAAGACCTTCTGCGAACTTTCCGAAGACCATGTACCTTGGTGCTCGGCTGATGTTTTTTATTGTTGTTGCAGGCTGCGCCGCTGTTTTCACTACAACCGTGCTGCAGCTTGGCCGCGCCCCTACATTCTTGAATGGAATATTGAATGGAATAATTGAATAAGCAGGGTACATAAGCACCGCTATCCTTACTGGATAGTTTAATAGCTAGCTGTCTGGGCCTGTAGAAGACTGCGAACAAGCACAAGCAGTCGATACTGCACCTTTTTCGCTGCTGAAGACCCTGCCGCTGTAAGTTCCACTCTTTGTGGCAGCAATAACATTAGTGGTCAATGTCCATTCACGGGTATTTCACTGGGGACCCGCTGGAGATCCTACAATCTCGCGAAAGTGGTGCAGCGCGACCAGCAAGAGCGACTCCTGATGACCTAATGCTGCGGCTGCTCCCGCCGGTGTTGTTGTAGTTCGTGTCTTAAGATACAAAAATAGTTACGGCAGCATTTTCCGCTGAATGATTGGCAAAAAATCGAGTGTCGGGTGCGGGGCTGCTGCAGGAGCTGCATTCTGATCAGCAGCAGCCAAGGCCGCAGCCACTGCTGCTCCTGCTGCTGCTCGTAATGGCATAGCGTGTCTTGCCGGTACAACGATGCCTTTCAGGTGTAAACCACTGGAATTTACAAGCAAAAGTAATTTTTTGCAAGGAGTGCCGCTACGGCAGCTGTTTTTGCTGCAAAGGCTGCAGCTGCAGCCATGTAGCGTGTTCTGTCCCGGAAGTGACCTTCACTGGCTTGCTACTGCAAGCTCCTTTGCACAGCAAACCAATATAATCCAAAGGACTTGAAATCGGCCAGAAATCTATTTTCGCAAATATTTTAATCACAAATTCCGCCTAGTGGCTCACTGGTAAGAGTTTAAAGTTCAGGGTTTCAGGCTCGAGCAGGGTCACCACGTCACCTTGAACTCGACCCCTGGCAGCCGTGCCCTGCTGTTCCACCTATATCTGTTTTTAAAGCACAGCGTGCAACGGCATTATACCTACAGCTCTTAAAAGCGATAAAACTGGCAACAGTGGCAGCAACAACGCCCGCGGCATTTACTGAATAGGGCAAGCAGAACGTCGGTAGCTTAAGATGGAGCCAGAAGACATGGCTACCCTAGAGCTGCAGCAAACAGAGCAAAACCAGGAGCTCACAGACGGTGAGCGCAATGAGTGGGAGGAAAATGAACGACGATCGCGCGCGGCTGCTTCGCCGCAGCAGGAAGAGCAGACCGCTGGCACACAGCAACAGGATTATCAGGAGCAATTAAGTGAGCACAAGCAACACGATGAGCGGCTGCAACTGGATTATCAGCAGCAACAAGACGCTGAACAGCAACAAGTAAAGGAGAAACAACAGGATGAGCAGCAGCAAGACAAAAGACAACAAGATGAGGAGGAACAACGCGAACAACATCAAGAAGACGAGCAGCATCCAGGCAAACAACCACTACAAGAAGAGCAAAAAGAAGAGCCGCAAGAGCAAAAGGATCCCCAGGAGGATGGGCAGCAATCGAAAAGCGGAGAGCAAAAAGAAGAACAGCTGCAAGAAAAGCAGCAGCAGCAAGGGAATAGCCTGCTTCACAAAGAGAGTACCCAGCACCAGCCAGAGGCATCACTTCAAGAAAAAGAAGAGCAGCAGCAGCAGCAGCAAGAGCTGAGAGAAAAGAAACAGATGCAAGGAAGAGAGCAGCAGCAGGAGGGGGAGCAAGGAGAGCAGCAGGAAGAGCACCCGCAGCAGCAAGATAAGCATCCTGAAAGCGCGAAAAAGCAGCAAGAACAGAACCAGCAGCAGCCCACGCCGCAGCAGCAACAGCATACGAGCAACAGCGATGAGCCAAAGAAGCAAGGAGAAGCGCAAGTTCAGAGTGAACAGCAGCAAGTGGAGCAGCAGCAGAAGCAGCAGCAGGAACAACAGCAAGAACAGCAGCAGAAACTTGAGACCCAATCCTCACTACGGGAGTTGCAACAACTGCAAGGAGATGTCGTTGACCAACAAGCATATCAGCAAAAGGAGTCAGATGAGTTTCAGCAAGAGCAGCAACAGAAAGCAGAAAAACAGGGGAAGCAGTCACAAAAACAGGAGAGTGAGCAAGGGGAAGAAAGCCTGCAGAAGCAGAATAAAGACCAGAAAAAAACGAAGGAGCCAGAACATGGACACCGGCATAAGAACCAGAAGCCAGAGCAGCAGCAGCAGCAGCAGCAACAGCACCAGCAGGAAGAGGCTACGACGCACCAGCAGCAGGAAGATGCTGAGAAGCGTCAGCAGCAGGATGAACCTAAGGCGCAGGAGCAGCAGCAGGAAGCGAAGAAGCAGCAGCAGCGGAAAAAGACTAAAAAGATGCAGCAGAAGCAGCAGGGAGAGGCCAAGAAGCAGCCGCATGCGGACGAAGGTAAGCAGCAACAGCACGGCGAGGCCAAGAAGCAGGAGGACCAGCCATATGAGGCTAAGCAAAAGCAACAGCAGGCTCAAAATAAGCAGCAGCAAGCGGATAAACAAGAGCAAGAGCAGCAGCAGAGGGAACGACAGCAACGAAAGAAACAGCAGCAGCAACAGCAGTCGAAGAAGCCAGCAGTGGGTGAGAGTGCACTCGAACTAACACATACTAGACTTCTTAACTTCGCCATTAATTAGTGCAGAATCAAGCCAAAAAACCACAAGAAATAGGCCTAAATAATACTTGTAAAGGCCAGCCATAGCGGCCTTACAGCTGCTGCTGCAGCTGCAATTACTTATTTAGCGGCAGTTGCAGCAACAGAGCCACTTGAACCTGACGCACTTTCAAAATATGTCGCGATTGTTTCAGATCCTGCAGAAAATGATACCGAACTAACAGCAACACCTCCTGCAACACCAACTCTGTTTGCTGAGCAGCAGCAGGAAGACCAGCAGCAGCGGCACCACTACGAATTCTTGGGGGGAAAACGACTGAGTGAGGACTTCAGCTTCTTGATGTTTGGCTCTCGTGTCTCTTTGGAGAGTTTAGATACTCTGCCTGCAGACGAACCGACCCTAAAACCACAGCTTCAGCAGCAGCAGCAGCAGCAGCAGCAGCAGAAGCAACAGCAGCAGCAGTCGCAGCAGCAGCAAGCGCAGCAGCAGCGGTCGCAGCAGCAGCAACAGCAGCAGCAACAGCAGCAACAGAACCCACGCGAGGACAGCAGCTACTGGGTAGATCCACTGAAAGAAAGGAAACAAAAAATAGCAGCAATAAGAGCCATGGAGGCAGCCGACGGAGAGCTTGGGTTTCAACTCAAACAGATCAAATGGAAGCACCGTTGTGTCCAGCACGTAAACCCTAAACCCTAAAATCCAGCACGTAAACCCTACACCCTATTTTAAGAATGCATCACACTCAGGTTCAATTTCAGCCTGCCACTGAGTCGATGGATCTGCTGCTGCTGCTACTGCTGCTGCCAGCCATGCCGAGTGTTCTGGTCTTGCCGCAGCATCCCCGCTGCTGCTAATTGCTACTGTTGCTTCTTCCGCCGATTTTTCGGTGCTCTTTGCAAGGGTTTAGAATGGCTTTTGCAGCAACTGCTCAAGACTCAAAACTTAAAGTCTTTATGCTTTCCTTTTTTTCAAGGAAGTGCAGCTGCTGAGTCCAGAAGAAACGAGAGATCTCAGGGAGCACCACACGCCTTCAGCCCGGAGAGCAGCTAAGCGCAAGCCCGCCTATCGAAGTCAGAGCCAGTTAACGGCTTACTACGGCTGCTGCAGCTGCTGCTGCAGCTGCTGCTGTTGCTGCAGAAGCTGCTGCTGCAGAAGCTGCTGCTGCAGCAAGTTGCATCTGTTCCGGTGTTTGTGCATGCCTGTCCTGCTTCTGCTGCTTCTGGTGCTGCTGCTGGCTGTGAGGTCAGCAACTTGCTGGTGCCTTAGCTTGCTGCAGCTCCTCTGTTGGACTCGCACATGGTCTCGAAACTGTGCAAGTGTTGTTGCTGGGTTTGAACCCGCTGCTGCTGCTGTTTCTACTGTTGCTGCTGTTGCTGCTCTTGTTGATGGTGCTGTTGCTGCTGTTGCTGCTGTTCCTGGTGCTGCTGTTGCTGCTGCTTCTTGCTACTCCAGCCCGGGGCCTGTTCCCACCTGCGACAAACCAACGAAAAGAAGAAAAGACTCAAAACCAAGAAACAACGGATGCCATTGCTGCTCTGCGGTGCTCCTTTCTGAACTCTAAGCCCTATGCTCTGCTCTCCAACCCTAAACCCTTAGCCTAGATTCTAGACCCTTCAGCTTGAGACATAACTTTTTAATTTCATCTATTGCTATTTCAATTTGTTCTGGTCTTGCTGCGAAAGGTTCCCCGGTGCGTCTGCTGCAGCAGCAGCTGCGTCTGTTGCTGCAACTGCTGCTGTCACTGTCGGTGGTGCTGTTGCTCCATATTCTTCTGCTGCTACTGCTGCTGTGTCGGACCTGTTTGTGGCAATTAGACGACTGATGATGGAGCTGCGAAAACGAGTAGCTGAAATGCCTCCCGAGTATGAACGGAAAAGAAAAGCTGCCTCATCTTCTATTGCCTCTGAGCAATTTGCTGCCTCATACTAAGTGTCTTTTCCTTGCTTTTTGTCCTTTTCTGTCGAAGGCTTTTGTCCACACAGTTTTGCTATTCTAACGCGTCTTATTCTTCATTCTATCTCTATAATGCTCTTGTGTGTTTCCTTCTGTTTGCATTACTATCTTTGCTGTTTCTTGCTGTTTGGGGCTCCCCTTTGGCTTCTTTTCTGTCCTATTTTGAATATTTTTGAGTTTTATTGTTTGTATCCCTCTCTGCACGTTTCCATGATTCTCCTCCTAAATCTGCCTCTTTGCACTTAAGTACGCTTGGTTGGCACCTTCCGTCTTTTTGCATGCGGGCAAGAGTGCTTCTGCGTTGGTGCTTTCGTTCAAATGCACTAGTGCAGAATCACTAAACACTTGGCTATTTAGCATTACAATGCAGTTCCCTTTCGGGTGTATGCACGCTTCTTTGTTCGTGTGGCGTGTACGTACGCTGCAATGGAAGCGTCACCCGCATTTGCTGCCTCTGCCTCCTCTTTATCTTTACCTCCCTACACGGCTAGGGCATGCACTCTGTCCCATATTTTTCTTTTTTTATTCCTGCATGCATGCACTGTGCCCCGTGTTAACTCTTTGCTGCATCTTTTAATTTTGTCTTCCGCGCTTTTGTCTGATTTCTTGCTTTTTTGTGTCGCTGTGGTTTCTTGCACAACTGTTCATTTCCTCTCTCTAACTCGCAAATAGGCCTCTGTTTCTTTTTTAATTGGTCTTCCTCTTGGATTTTTTCCCCTGATGGTTATTTCCCTTCTTCTTTCCCAATTTCGTCTCGTGTCTGTCTCCGTGGTCGCCTTTTATTTTTCTTCTTTGTCTCCATTTCTTTTTTCTAGGGACCGCCCAGTGGGTGCAGAGCTAACCTTAGGCCCAGACCGCTCAAGTGGGCGGAGGCTCATGTCTTTGAACAGCAGCAACAGCCTCAGCAGCAGCCGTCAGCCCTCTTTGGGTGCCCCTGCGGTCCCTCTGTCTGCAAAGGACAACAGCGGTAGCGAAAGTAATAATGCATGCAGCGAAATGGACGACCAGTCTCTCTTTGGGATGGGTCTGGACGAGGAAGCAGCCTTTGGCGCTGCTGCTGTGGGAGGGCAAGGAGAACTGAGGCAAACTGTGGGCCCCCAGGGGGCCCAGGGGACCCAGGGGCCCCCCGGGGCCCCTGGGTTTGCCCAGTGGCTAGCCAGGCTGGAGGTGCTCGACGCCCTGAGGCATATACTGCAAGATGACGGCACCTTGTGCATCAACAGCATCAAAAAGGTGGAAGCCATGCTCATTCTCAAGGTAAAACCCAAACAAATTTGCATGCTCTGGCTAGCAAAGGGGGCCATGATTGTAGGGAAACTTTATGTGAAATTAAAACTTTTTCCATCCGACCGGCTCGAGACTGGTGGCGGCTCGTGCCGCCGAACACACGTGCTTGTGCTCTTCTCGGGACTTGTGGGGAGCAGAAAAAGCTGCATGCTCGCATGCATGGATGCATACATGGATGCATACATGCATGCATACACGCATGCACGCATGCATGCACCCATGCACGCAGTCACCTAAAGTCGTCTTGGGGCTGTTCAATACACTCAGGCTCTGCTGCGGAGGTACCAGCAGGAGAAGAGGCAGCAAATAGCGAACGGCGAAATCCTGACTCCCCGTAAGCCCACTGTGCTGCCAATTGTTTGATAAGGCTTTTGATGAGTTAGCGAGGTATTTGGCCGGTAGGTGGTGGCTAGCTGGCTAGCCAGCCAGGAAGCTGCTGCTCTCTTGATTTCATTGCTGCAGGCTCTGCTGCGGCTGTTGGCTGCGGTGTCCCGCGGCGCGGCTCCATCCAGCAGCAGGCCACGGGGGACAAGCGCCTCAGACGCAGGTCCAACCACTAGCAGCAGCAGCAGCAGCAAAAGAGCAGCAGAAGCACACTAGCAGATGCAACAGCATCTGTCACAAGACCTCAGCCAGAGAATGTTAGCAGATAGGCAAGCGAGCAAAAAGTAAACAAACCAAACAGCTAAACAACAAACAGGAGACCTTAACGTTTATTATTACCACTATTTTCGCTGCTGCTGCTGCCACTTTATAAACCACTGGCAGGCGCAGCTGCTGCCCTCACGAAGGCATTGTAGCGGAGATCAACGAAAACACCAGTTTGCCCTCGCGTCGCATGCATGCATGCATGCTATACATGCATGCATACACACATGCATGCATGCCATGCTTGAACAAAAACAAATAATCAATATACAATCCGTGGCCAGAGAATGCCCCTTGCTTAAGCATGCAAGGGCGCCGCTGCTTGGGCCTCAAAACTCAAAAAGGATATTTGTTTTGTTGTTCACAAGCACCTCAAACACGCCCGAGGCTTGCTTGAGATGCCTGTAAGCAGCAAAATAAATTCCTCTGTTGAGCGTTAATGCATGGGCCTGCTTAGTCTGCGCCAGAGTGCCTTTGCAGAGCCATGCCCACTGTGGTGTACATACACCCGAAACTGCACATGCAAAGACACCACTGCTCTGGCTGCTAACTCTACTCTAGAAAACATGGAACCATAAAACGCTACTTACGGAGTTCGTGGCGCGCATTTTGTCCCTAAAGCGGTGGCTGCCTCTGCTGTTGCTGCTGCTGCTGCACACTGCAGCAGCCGTGTTATTTGCTGCTGCTGCGCACAGCTGCAGCTGCGTCTTTTGCGGCTGCAGCAACTGGCCTACAGAGGCATCCACATCGTCTCCAATTTAAAATTAAGGCTTTCCAGTATCTTTTGAGCATGTATGCTGCCGAGCTAATTGCTTAGCTAGCTGCCCAGCTAGCTCTACAGCCAGCACTGGCTAGCGAGTGAGGTGGCTAGCACCGACTAACAGAAGGCTATTGTGACCCGCGGACGGCCCGTGGCTAGCAGCAAATGGGGCTGCATGTGCTGCAGGTGCTGCAGCTGCACGGGTCGACGCTGCATATGCTGCTGCTGCTGCTGCTGCTGTTGCTGCACCTGCTACAGCCCCTACCCAGCGAGGTTGAGGACCTCCTGCGCTGCCTCTCCGAGGGGGACATCAGGGTGTACGCGCTCGTTGAGTGGCGGCAGCAGCTGCTGCAGCTGCTGCAGCAGCGGCCGCAGCTGCTGCCGCGTCTGGGTGTCGCTAAGGAGGGTCCCAGCAGCTACAACAAGATGATAGAAAAGCGGCGGATCTGTCTCCGTTTGCATGACCTCCATTATTAACTGGCACAGCTGCAACAGCAGCAGCAGCAAGGACCGCGCAACAGGAGCAGCAATGGCATGCCGGATACGGGAACGACTTTCGTAGTAGCAGCAGCAGCAACAGCAGAACCATCGGCAATCACAAACCCGCAGCTGCGCAGCCAACGCCTTAGTAGCGGCAGTAGCAGCAGCAGCAGCGAACCTGGGCCTTGTGATCTTGAGAGAGCGAAGAAGAACCCAAGCAGTGGCAGGAAACAGCAAAGTTCAACAGCACGCAGCAAAGCGCCTGGCGGCAGGGCCGCGAGTGGAAAAGAGAAAGAGAAGCAGCAGCAACTTTGAGAGCAGCGAGGACCTGCGTCGCAAAGAAGTCAAAAAATTGCAAAAAGATGCAGCCTAGCAGCTAGCCACGCGCAGTGCAGCAGCTTGCCACGCGGTAATTCAGCAGCTAGGCACATGCAGTGCAGCGGCCAGCAACGCAGCAGTGCAGCAACTAGGCACACGCAGTGCAGCAGCTAGCCACACACAATGCAGCAGATAGCCACACACAATGCAGCAGACAGCCACAAACAGTGCAGCAGCTAGCCGCCCACAGCAGCACGCAACTTGTGGAAGCAACCACGGGCAGCAAACGCGCGAGCAGCCACTGGCAGCAGCAGAAGCAGCAGCAACAGCAGCAGCGGGCCGCTGCATGCCTGCCGCTGCTGCTGCTGCCGCAAGGAAGGAGGAGAGACAAAGAGAAGGGCCGGCAATGTGACAGGAAGTGAACAAGCAGCAGCAGCAGCAACAGCAAAGACAGAATGCTGCAGCACCACAGCCAGCTAGGAGTAAGCCAAAAGGCTAATACATCTAGCCAGAGGACGGCTAGTCAGCGCTGAGCAGCCAGCTCAGCTAGTTGCGCAGAATCCAGCGGAAAGCAGCGGAAGGAGCAGCATGAGCAGCAAAATGCAGCAGCAAAGTGGTGCACAGGCAAAAAGAAGACAGAAACAAAGACAAATGCGGAGGGAGATAAATGCAGCAAAAGGCACACAAGAGGGAGCAAAATAATCTAAATATAACACAAAAGGCAGCAGGGGCAGATGAGACACAGCCACAGGCCGCGGCACACCTGCTGCGCGTGCTGCAGCATGACTGCTCTGTTTGTTGGCAACATCAAGAGATTCGCCAGGTAGCGCAGGCAGCAAAGGACTAAGCCTGCACCATGCTGCTGCTGCTGCTGCTCTGCTGCTGCAGCACATGTCTCTTTGATTCGCTGCAGTGCCAGCGAAACGAAGTCCCAGCTGCAGCAGCAGCAGCAGCAGCGCAAAGACACAGTGGCCAGGCGGCCCCTAAGAGTTCTCTGAACGCCTAGAAGCAGCAACTAGACAGAGAAACGGCATGGCAGTAGCATTAGCAGCAGCGCTGCAACAGCAGCAAGAATAGCTGCAGCAGCTCTCAGGGCTTGCTGCTGCGGCGGTTGCAGTGGCTTCCGCTGCTACCTGCGCAGCAGCAGCAGCAGCTGCAGCACGGGCCAAGACCAAGGGCCAGGACTAACCCGCTGTTTGTTGAGTTTTTGAAAGATAGAGAGTATTGAGGATGAAGACAAAAGAGCCGCCACAAGTCGAAGACTGGCAGCTGCATACTGGCGGGGAAAAGAGCCAGCTGCTGCATCATTACGTGCACCTCGCTTGCCCTGCAGGCAGCAGCAGCAGCAGCAGCAGCAGCAGCAGCAAAAGAACAAAGGAAACCCTGTCAATCCGCCGCGAGGCCAAAAGAAGACATCTGCTTCAGAAGCAAAATGAAGCAGCACAAGCCAAGAACAAGCAAAACCCCACAAAGGCAAAAGGACCCAGTAGCCAGGGGCATAAAGAAAGGAAAAGGAGAAAAAGGAAACTTATGCAAAAAGGAAAGATACAGAGAAATAAAAAACTAGACAGGCAAACACAATTCCATAGGAAGGCGCAGCAGCACCTGAAGTTCTCCTTCAAATAGTTGCTGCTGTGCAGCTTCTCGAGCGCAGCAGCAAGGTAACTCTCGTCCAGCTCCGACAGCCGCGCCTGCAACAGCAGCAGCAGCAGCAACAGCAGCAGCAGGACACTAACAGTGGTAGCCCCGAAGAAGGTCCCAGCGGCAAGTAACAGCAGAAGCGAACCAGTCCGCAGCAGCAACAGCAACAGCAGCAGCAGCAGCAGTAGCGAACCTGATGCCCCTGCTGCTTGAGTGTCTGCTGGGCCTCCAGCAGCCCCTTCTTCAGTCCCTCTACATTGGCTTTAGAAAAGGAGACACACTGCAGAACGGGGATATGTTTCTGCTGCCTGCTGCTGCTGCTGCTGCTGCTGCCGTTGCTGGTGCTGGGGGCTGCTGCTGCTGCTCCGGTTGGCCGGGGAGCAGCAGCTGCCGCTGCTGGGGCTCCAGAGGGGCCCCCAGGGCCCCCACTGTTGGCATTTATAAAAGAAACAATTTGAGACAAATAAGACTTGTGCAACCCCTCCCGAGCAGCAAACTTCTCAGCAGAAACCAAGGGGTTGTCGCCACGGCTGCATGCGCACAAAGCCTCACCACGCTTCTCCTGGCTACCCACAGCTAGCTACGCCTAGCTAGAGCTAGCCACAACTAGCTACAGCTAACTACAGCTAGCCACACCTAGCTACAGCTAGCTACTAATACCCCCATCTAGCTGCCGCTAGTTACAGCTAGCCGCAGCTACCCCCAGTTAGCTACAGCTTTTTACAGCTGGTAACGGCTAGCCACAGCTAGCCACAGCTAGCTACACCTAGCCGCAGCAGGCCATAGCTAGCCAGGGCTAGCCCTAGCTAGCTGCTGAGCAGCTAGCTAGAGACCTAGATAGAAAGCTACCTGGTCCAGTCGTGCGTGGAAGCAAAGATACGCAGCCACTGCTGCAGCTGGCCAGAGCTGGTGGGTGCTGCTGCCCTTGTGCTGCCTCCAGGTGACGGCTAGCTAGCTGGCTAGCTGGCTGGCTAGCTAGTTGGCTAGCTAGCTGGCTAGCTAGCCAACTGGGACGCTTACAGCGGGGCGCAAGCCAAGCAGCGACAAGCAGCAAGCAGCAAAACAGCAGCAAAACTCTCACTTGAAGGGCAGCTTCTTGTACTCGCCGTCTTCTCCAAGTTCCACATTGAACACAAAGTCGTAGGAACCTTCATCAAAGAACTGAACCAGCAGCAGCAGCAGCAACAGCAGCAGCATTGGCGGCGGCAGCGGGAAATTACTCGCTGGAGGGAAGTTTGCTTGTGTGCAACAGCGCTGCTTCAAGAAGCAGGCTCAGCTCAAGCAGAAACAGCAAGAACACCTGCAGCGGCGGGTTCAGCAGCAGCAGCACAAACAGCAGCAGCAGCAACAGCAGCAACAGCAGTTTGCTGACTTGGTCCCCGGGGAAGAAGGTCTTGGGGCCCCCCTTAGGGGGCCCCATCCGGTTGGTGAGGGGGTTCAGTGCATGCCCCACAAAGTCCCATTGCTGCTGCTGCTGCTGCCAGCTCAGCACCACAGCCTCGTCGCCCCTCCTACAGACCTGAGCAGACACAGTTCTGCCTCTGCTGCTGCTGTTGCTGCTGCTGCTGTTGCTGCTGTTCCTGCTGCTACTTTAGACGTACCACCAGTTCGCCGTCTTTGGTGCCTTGACGCTTCTGCATGCAACGCAAATCAGGCAGATCGCTACGCTCCCTGCTGCTGCTGTTGCTGCTGCTGCTGTTGCTGCTGCTGCTGTTGCTGCTGCTGCTACCGCCTAAAGGCCCTTGTCTACTTTCACTATTTCTTAGAAGAAAAAAAGACAAAGACACAGCCACCAGCATAAGGCCACAGGAAGACTTGGCTGCAGGGGAGCAGCAGCAGAATGTTTATGGGGGAAAGACACAAGGAATGCAGCACGAGATAGTTAAAGCAGCAGGAAAAGAAGCAACGCTCCCCTGAGGCAAAGCTCGAGAAAAAGAAATAAAAAGTGTTTTAAAAAAGACAAAAACCCCGGAAGCCCCTGAGTTGCAGTGTATGCACACCCTAAGCTCCGCCTCAGTTGGCAGTTTAGTCAAATCCAAAGCTTCTCCCTTTTCTTCGACCTCAGATGAGGCTACCTGCATCACAAAGATATGCTGCTGTTGCTGCTGCTGCTGCTGTTGTTGCTCCTGCTGCTGCTGCTGTGTCGCTGCTTCTACTGCAGTCGGGGCTACCTGTCTGAATGCAACGAAACGATCGCGGCAATGCTCAGCTCCGGAACTGCTGGTGCTGCACTATAAGCTGCCGCGAGCTACTGGTTTGCTGCTGTTGCTGCTTTTTCTGTTGCTGCTGTTTCTGTTGCTGCTGCTGCTGATCAAAAGAAGCGTGTGGGCACTCACATCTTTAGCCGCCGCATTCGCTGCGGCGATGACATCGGCAGGCAGCGCCCGTTCCTGGTCTGCTGTCCATATTCTGACCAGCAGCAGCAGCAGCAGCAGCAGCAGCGGCGGTGAGACAAAATGAAGGCGCAGCTAAGACAGGCATCAGGCGAAAGGGCCCCTTATAAGCAGCTAAATACAAATATGATGGAGCGCAGCAGAATACAGGAAAGACTCGAAAAGACAGGAAGAAAGGCCTACCGCAGCCGCCCGTCTTCGCAGGCCGTGGCTACATCGCCTGTGGGCAGCTCCACAGCCTGCAGCAGCAGCAGCAGCAGCAGCAGCAGCGAAAGCATGAGCAAAAAATGGCGCAAGATGACAGCAGCGCAGCAGAACCTGCTGCCGCAGCATGTGCAGCAGCAATAATCACAACAGGCCAACAGCGAAAGCAGACCAGCGAGCGCCTGTCAACGTGGCAAAGCAGCAGCAACAGCAGCAGCAGCGGCGGCAGCAGCAGCAGCGGCAGACCTGCCAGACAGTTGCGGGATGCTGCAACTTCTGCAGCAAAGAGATCGAGGGATTCGCCGCATCGGAAATTTGCCAAAGGCAGCAAAGGCCGTCGTCGCCTGCGGTGTATATACACCCGGGCCGAGTGCCAGACACGCAGCAGCCTGCAGCGGCAGCAGCAGCAGCAGTAGCAGCAGCAGCAGCAACAGCATAGGGGCGCAGCAAGAAAAAAATGGAGGCAAGGAGTCGAAAAAGGACAACAAACACTTTCAAAGAGATAAAAGCGAGGAAACCCTTTTTCAAGAATCAAAAATAATATATCTTTTCAAAAAGACTAAAAAGGAAAATAATCAAAAAAAAGAATAAATCTTTTCAAAAAGACTACAAAGGAAAATAAATCTCACTGAAAATAAAAGCCTCATGGGCGTCTTCTTTATCTAAAAGACACTTCAGCTCTGTTGTCCACAGCTTGATGCGGCGGTCGTTCGATACGCTCACCAGCCTGCTGCTGCTGCTGCTGTTGCTACTGTTGCTGCTGCTGCTGCTGCTGCTGGAGGGAGGCAGCGCGGCGACGCAGCGGATGATGTCTTCATGGGCTCCTGCAGCGAACAAGAGACTTGCCAAGAAAACTAAAAAGCGCTGCACAAACCCTAAACCCTAAACCCTAAACCCTAAACCCTAGACCCTAGACCCTAGACCCTAGACCCTAGACCCTAAACCCTCAACGAACCTTCAACTGAAAGAGTTTCTTTTCCCTCTTCATTCCAAACGCAAAGATAACGCGACTGAGACCCAGTTACCAGCGCGGCCCCCATCCAGCACACGCACACTGCAGCAAGAACCAGCCCCAAACCCTAAACCCTAAACCCTTAACCCTAAACCCTAAACCCTAAGCCCTGAGCCCTTCACCCAAATTTGAAACTCGAAGACCCAAACCCGGAGCCTTCAACCATGGACTCTAGACGCTAAAACCTAAACCCTAGAAGCTCAGTCCCATGCACTGAATCTCTAGCCTTAAACCCTAAACCCTAAACCCTAAACACTAAACCCTAAGACTCAAAACTTCAGCCTATAATCCTGAACACCGAGCCACCTCAAGCCTACTGTAGTCGACTCCAATGAAGGCTCTCCCGGCTAGGGTTTAGGGTTTAGGGTTTGGGACTTAAGGGGCACAACTGAGGGTTTCGCGCGCTAGGCATAGGGCCCTCTAGGGTTTAGCTGTGCCGCCTTGCAGCAGCCCAGTCGAAGGTGGAGGTCCCCGGGCCTACAGCTTAGCGTTTAGGGTTTAGGGTTTAGGGTTTGGACCTGCAAAGGAATGGTGCTGCGTCAGCACGTGCAGCAGCAAACCCTCGTCTCTGTTCCAAACCCTCGCCTCTCCCGCCCAATCTCCAGAAGCCACCAATTCATTATGTTCTGCTACCGAGCACACGGGGCTTTTGTGGCCCTGCAGCAACCCAAACCCTAAACCCTAAACCCTAAACCCTAAACCCTAAACCCTAAACCCTAAACCCTAGGCCCTAAAGCCTAATTCCTGAACCCTAAACCTTCTGCACCTTCCCTGGACGTGGGGGTGGCTAGCGGAAGTACGTGCTGCTTCCTGGGCAGCCTGGAGGCGCTGCTGCAGCAGTTGCTGCAGCAGCGCTTAGGGTTTAGGGTTTAGGGTTTACGCGGTACTTCATCTCCACCACTCCCGTTTGCGCGTGAACCCTGCAAAGGGTTTGGTCTTTGCTGCCCGAGTAAAACTGAAGAGAAAGAGAAAGTGAAGGAGAGAGACAAAGCACGAAGTCATTGTGGTGCTGCAGGGTTTTGTGTGGGGTGTACATACACCCCACGCAGCTGCTGCTGCTGCTGCTGCTGCTGCTGGGCGGAGAGGGAGCACTCGGCTGCTGCTGCTGCTGCTGCTGCTCTTGGGCCTCCTGCTGCTGCCACACAACCACAGTGGAGTCCAAAGAACCCGTCAGCAGTAAACCGTCAGGAAGCACGCAGCAGCAGCGCACAGCAGCGCGGTGGGCGTGGCCTAGAAAGGCCAGATGCAGGGAAGGGGAGTCCATGCTGCCTGCTGCAGCTGCGGAGGCTGCTGCAGTTGCGGCTGCCGCTGCAGTTGCTGCTGCTGCTGCAGCTGCGGTTGCTGCTGCAGTTGCGGCTGCTGCTGTAGTTGCGGCTGCTGCTGTAGTTGCGGCTGCTGCTGGAGCTGTCGCTGGCGCTGATGATGTGGCTGCTGCTGCGGTTTCAAGTGAACGTACACCGGACGGGTCTGGCTGCTGCCTACGAAGACAGGCCCTAACGAGCGGCCCCCGAAATGTCTAGAGGCAACTGATGCTGCCGCTGCAGTTACTTTTTCAGCTTCTGCGAAGCTTATACGAAGATCAGTCTTGCCTTTACTTGGCCAGTGTTAGTAAAAGTTGGCTGCTGCCGCTGCTGCTGGAGCTGCTGCTGCTGTGGCTGCTGCAGGATCGGCTGCAGGGAGCAGGTAGTTTCCTCCTAGTCTGTCTGTTCGTGTTTGAGCCGAATGAGTAAAAACAAATGAGGCATAATACCTGAACATGCTAAATTTTAACTGTGTTGCTGCTGCTGCTGCCGTTGCTGCTGCTGCTGCTGCTGAAACGTATCTACACCGCTGCAGCAGCGAACAAGGAGCTGGCTTGCTGTAGCAGCACTCTGTGTGCGAAAAGTTATTGAAAATGTGTTATCTCACATAGTCCAATAATTTTGTGAAATTTGAGCTGCATATATATCCTTTCCTCAGCATCTCAGAGCCTGCTGCTGCTGTTGCTTCCGTTACTGCTGTTGTTGGTGCTGCGCCCGCTGCCCAAATCGCCAGTGTTGCTGCTGCTGAATACGTTCAGGTCGCTGATATGTGTACTACGGCAACGGGTGCATATGCATCAGTGGCAACAGCGGCAGTCGCTCCAGGAGCTCCTGCAGCAACAGCTGCATCCACAGCTGCAGCAGCAGCCGCAGCTGCAGCAGCACCTGATGCATAGAAGGGGTAGCTGTTTAGGCGCAGCTCAGCAGCAAAGTGCCCACCCGATGAGCAGCAGCTGCTGCAGCATGCCGCCGCTGGCCCAACTGTAGCAGATGGGAGGCTGATGACCGCTGCTGTACACAGCAGGGCTCATGGCTGGCGTTAAGGCTGCAGCAGCAGTTGCTGCTGCTGCTGCTACTGCTGCTGCTGCTATCGCCTGGTGTTAGCTGCTGCTTGCGCTGGTTTGGAAGCTAGAGCCTAGCTTTCAGCAGTAGCTGCTGCTGGTGCTGTTGCTGCTTGTGTTGTCTGGCTTCAGCAGCAGCTGCAGCAGCAGCAGATGCTGCTGCTGCTTGTCTTTGATATCATTTTTAGTCGCTCAGCAAGCATCTAATTCATTGGCGGTAGAAGCCAAAACGGCTGCTGCTGCTGCTGCTGCTGTTTCAAGTTATCGGCATCGAAGTTTCTGCCGCACAGGCTTGCTACTGCTGCTAATATACACACCTGCTGCTGCTGTTGCTGCTACTAACTGCTGCACCTGCTGCTGCTGCTGCTGCTGCTTGCTGTGCCGCCATCACCCTTGCCACTGCAGTTGAGATGAGATTGCTCTGAGGAATGCAAAAGAAGAAGCAGTGAGCAGCAGCAGCAGCAGCGGCAGATGTTGCAGCAGCAGCAGAAACGGCACTAGCAGCAGCAGGAGCAGCAGGAATTCCATTAAAGATGCCTCAGGGCTTTTGAGCGCAAAGAAATTGGCTAGCTGGCTGCTAACCACGGCTGAACGCGGCTGGGGGCTGCTCTCCAGCCCAGCTAGCTACAGCTAGCTACAGCTAGCAACAGCTAGTGGCAGCGGGCTGCTGCGAGCTGTATCTAGCTGTAGCTAGCTGCAGCTGGCTATAGCTAGCTACAGCTACAGCTAGCCCAACGGCAGCTAGCCACAGCTAGCTAGGGGTAGCTACAGCTAGCCACAGCTAGCTGCAGCTAGCTGCAGCTAGCTGCAGCTAACCAGCTAGCCAGACAGCCAACGCGAGTCGCAGCTTGCTAGCTTTGGCTAGCTCGCTGGAAGCCCAAGGCCCTGCTGCGCAGCGAGAGCATTAAGGACTTTTAAAGCTGCATTCAAGAGAAGAAAGAAGCAAAGAGAAGGACAAAAGTGCCACAAATAAGAAACACTTTTAATAATATTGAGGCTCATAGAGAAGTAAAATAAGAACAAAAAGAGAAGCACCAAAACGTCAAAGAAGCAAATCAAAAGAAAGACCACACAGAGAGCGCTAGGTAACCAAATGGCCCGCAGCTCTTTGCTGCTTTCCTCTCAGCAGCAGCAGCAGCAACATTTTCCTATTTTGGGTCTTTTTATTAGCAGAGCCTCTAAACACTTTATACTTTTCCTTTCAAGTCAGGCTCCCCTGGGGGGTCTCCGGGGGCCCCCCAAGCTCTCCTGGAGGCCCCTGCAGGCTGCTCAAACTAATAAGTGTTCCTTAGGTTAATGTGGGCCTTGGGGCCCCCTAAATGGTCTGCAGGGGCCCCCAGGGGCCCCCATTCCTTGGCTGAGGCCTATGGCAGCCCCAAGGGGCCACCCCCGGGGCTCTTTCCGCAGCAGGCGCCACATGGGGACCTCACAAGTGCCTGGGAGCCTCAGTGCTGCTCATTAAGGGCCAAAGGAGCTTCTGTGCTGCGCCGCAGCAGCAGCGGCAGCTACCCGTGACCGCTGGTCCTGCAGCTGCTTCGAATGTACGTACTTTGTGGCTGCCTGTGGCCCTAACTTGGGCTAGCTGCGCATTTAAAAAGCCTACAGAAGCCCTGATATGGGGCTTTAGTGGTTTTATTTTCTGAAAGTAGAATAGGGGGAGGTGGCGCCGAGCCCATATCGAGTGTCCGGCGGTGCAGAGCCAACCAGCGGCGTCTGTAGCTGATCTGATTATTTCTTTCCTGTTTCTAGCTACTTATTTTAGATAGATTTGTTGAATTTGAATATTAAAGAGGCAAAATAAATGGGAAGGCAACTCCGTCAAGGGGTCATGTGCCTCCGCTCCTCCCGGCGGCTCTTTGAGGCCGACTGGGCGTGGGAGCGAAACGTGAGGGTGAAAGAAACAAATTAAGGATTTTCGACTTCATAAATGACTTCATTTCAATTTAAAACTTGTTTCAAGACCCGAGGCACTGAATGTTTGCTGACTTCTCGGCGCTAGCAGCTCTCGCTGCCCATCATCGACTTGCAGCGGCGGCAGCAGCGCAGCAGCAGCAAAGCCTCACGCTTAGCAGCAGCAGTTTGCTGCTTTCGGTTATCATTTCAAAACGTAAATGCACTTGGTGCCGCTCGGCGCCGTACAAGGGACGTCTCTTGCCGAAGATTCCCCTTAACTCCTGACTGCGCAGCACGAGCGGCAACAGCAGCTGCAGTTAGAGTAGCTGCAGCAGCAACAGCACGCATTACTGCCCCTGCAGCATCACTATCCTCGTTTATACACCCAAGGAGGACCCCAGAGGTTCTGCCAACCCCCTGACCGTGTCTCCTCAGCAGCAGGTGACCCTACTGTAAGACAACAGCAGCAGCAGCAGCAACACAAGCAGCAGCAGCAACTGCAGCAGCAGCAAAAGCAGAAGTGGTAACGCTCAGCAGAACCGACTACTCGGAAGGCGCGGCGGGGCTCAGAGGAGGCTGCAGCAGCAGCAAATCTGAATGCTGCAGCAACTGCAGCAGAAGCACCAGCAGCAACTACAGCAGTAGAAGCAGCCTGTCGTTGTAGCAATGAAGTTCCTAGTGCATGCTACTGCAGCAGCAGCTGCTGTAGGCGTAGCAGTGGCTGCATCTGTTGCTGCAGCGGGGAGTCCAGAAGGATCTCTGGCAGCTCTGCAGCTGTCTGAGGCAGCAGCTGCAGCGGCAGCAGCAGCAGCAACGGCAGCAGTAGCAGAGGAGGAGGACGCGCTTTTCCCCGAGGCCAATTGCCCTTCTTACCCGAATGCAGATTCCGAATTTGAAAAGGTGGCGTGTTGCGTTTGCTGCTGCTGCTGCTGCTGCTACTTTTGCTGCCGCTGCTACTTTTGTTGTTGCTGCTGCAATACTTGTTGCGAGTTGCTGCTTTCAAACCTGTTATCTGTTGCAGCACAGCAGCAGACATTCACCTAGTTTTGCCTCAGCAGCAGTTGCTGCGGCAGTTGTGCGTCGCCTGGGTTGTTTCTTTTCCTGCATCCACACGTGCCGCGGCTGCTGCTGCTGCTGTTGCTGCTGCTGCTGCTGCTGGGTGCAGGCGGTGTCGGTGGGGCGCCTCGAGGAGCTCTTTCGTCGGCTGCCGCCTGGGGGCTCTTACAGAGGCATTCCTTTGAACAGCAGCAGCAGCAGCGGGGAGACAGCAGCAGCACTTGTGCACAAACACATTGCCTGCGCTTTGGCGCAGCACGAGGACTTCAACGGGGTTTTCGGCGGGGGAGGTGAGCGACCCAGCTAGCTAGCCAGCTAGCTAGCCAGCTAGCTAGCCAGCTAGCTAGCTAGCTAATCAGCTAGACCGCTGCTAGCCAGCTGCTCAGCTAGCTAGTCACGCAATTGGCCGCTAGATAGCTAGCTGTGCAGCCAGCTAACCAGCTAGCCAGCAAGCTAGCCGAATAGCTAGCCACGGATGTCGGCAGCGCAGTGGCTAGCACGCTGGCGGCCAGCTAGCTAGCCATTGCACTGTCTGGCTAGCCATCGCACTGGCTAGCTAACCAGTGCACTGGCTAGCTAGCGAAAGTGCCTCCTGTGGTAGTGAGTAGTGAGCCTGCTGCACTGCAAGGGCCACTGCCAAAGCCAGGTAGCCAACTGCTTGGCTAGCTCGCCGCAGCTAGCTGTGTAGCTAGCTAGCCAGGCAGCTGCTGCAGCGGCCAGCTAGCCATTGGCTGCTCCAGCGGCGATGCTAGATGGTCTCAAAACAGCGCTATAGTCATGGAGGAGCAGCAACTGGCGGATATTACAAAGCTGCTGCTGCTGCTGCTGCTGCGGCTGCTGCTGCTGCTGCTGCTGCTGCTATTTGTGTTGTTTTCTGCTGTTGAGCGTTTTTTCAGGCAGAAGTCCTGTGGGCAAGGCACTTTTCACGGGTCTCCAGGAATTTGCTGCTTTTATTTCGTATGCTCTTTTTCGGACAAACTTCTTCAGGACATTTAAAGAAGACACTCCTCTCAGGTGTACATACACCTCAGCACAATGGGCAGGACTCTGCTTTCTTTTGGCTGTGGCGCAGCTGCAGCATAATAATGCAATTCTTTGCAAATAAAAGGCTTTTGAAATGAAAATCTAAAATATGAGCAGCAAATGCATGCATGCATTTCTAGAAATGAACTAATTACTTTTAAAGAAACATTCAAGTGCCTGTGTTTGGGCTTCCAAGCCATTAAATGGAAGCAAATTCAAGTTCAGAGTCCCATGGGAATAAATGCATGCAAAAAGCATTTAAAAATGACGAAACATACAATTAAGTGGGCATATTTGCATGCATGCACTTGCATGCATGTATTTGCATGCACGCATTAAGTTGGTGTAATTTCAATTGCCTTACTATTCTGGGCTACTGCTGCTGGGAGGCTTCTTTGGGCGCTGTTTGCTGCAGCAGCAGAAGCTGCTTCCTTTGGCTCCCGCCAAAGGGAAAGCTTTCTGCTGCTGCGGCAAACAGGCTCGTTGAAGGGGTGTCTTCTGCTGCTGCTGCTGCAGCAAGCAGGCTCTCTGAACGAAAGTTGTTTGCTGCTGCTGCAGCAAACAGCAGGCGTCCCAAAGGGGTGCCGTTTGCTGCTGCAGCAAGCAGGCCTCCCAGAAGGGCGCGTTTTGCTGCAGCAGCAAGCAGGCTCCCCTTTTGCTGCAGCAGCAAACAGGCTCCCCAAAGGGGAGCCTTCTGCTGCTGCAGCAAGTAGGCTCCTTTAAAGGTCTCTAAATGCGTTTGCTGCTGCTGCGCAGCTGTTTATTGTGTAAGCGTTTGTTTGCTGCTGTTGAGGTGCACAGACACTGCGAGCAAACAGCAGAGGCCCCCTGCGCCGAGGGTGCCTCTTATGCGGCAAGAGGGCCTTTTGGGGTAAGTCATTATTTATATTTTTCTTTAAGCTATTTTTCCATTTCTTTTCTCTAAGCTATTTTTCTATTTCTTTTTTTATATCTCCTGCTGCATCATTCTGCCCCCTTTGCTGCTTGCTTCTGCCTCCCTTTTGCGCCCTGTGGGCGCCTCCAGCCCCCGCAGCCCCGCACCGCTGCTGCTGCTGCTGCTGCTGCTGTTGCTGCTGCTGCAGCTGCAGGGCAGTGCTGCGTACGCGGCCTTTGGAGAGTTTGCTGTATCTGACAGCAGCAAACTGCTGACACAGCCAGACCTTTTGGGAAGACAAGATGTAGCTGATTGGGTCTCCGCGTTGTGGCTGTGGACAAGAGACCGAGGGTAAGAAGCAGCTGAACTTGCGGCTGCTGCTGCTGCTGCTGCTGCTACAGTTGCTGCTGCTGCTGCTGCTGCTGCTGATGTTTATGCCTCCTGCTGCTTCTGCTGCTCAGCAGCTAGCTGCATCTCTTTGTGTCGCTTTAGTCCGTCTGCTGCTGCTTGTGTGTCTGTTTCCTTTTCTGCTGCTCTGCTGCTTCCTGGGCCCGCGAGCTGTCTGTCTGCTGCTTGTTGCTGCTGGCTCCTGGCTGCCTTGTGCGCCTTTGCCGTCTCCTAGCACCCCGCTGCACCTTGCTGCTGCTGCTGCTGCTGCTGCTGTCGCTGCTGCAGCTACGGCGAGGAGTGCGCGCGGTGGCCTCTGGGACGCGGCCTGACCTCACCCCACAAGGCTTTGCAGTCTTGGGACTTTTCAATTGTGGGGTCTGAGGTGTCTCCGCTGCTGCAGGCAGCAGTTGACTACCCCACAGATGCTGCTTCTCTTGCTGCAGCAGCAAACCCGTTCGGGGGCCTCGGCCTGGCGCTCTCGCTGCTGCTGGGAGAAGCTGCCTGCTGCCCTGCTGCTGTTGGGGACTTGAGAAGGTCCCAACAGGACTTAAATAACTTCCCGCGGCAGCAGCCAGTAAGCGTTCACCAGCCAGGAAGCACGGCCGGTGACGCCGCGGGCCAGCAGCAGCAGCTGCAGCAGCAGCAGCAGCAGCAGCAGCCGGCAAGCCTCCCGCCTCCAACGCAGCAGCAGCAGACGATGGCGCTTTTCGACTCTATTATGTCGGGCCGGGGGCCTGTGATGCTGCAGCAAAAGCAAGCAGCAGCAGCAGCAGCAGGAGCAGCAGCAGCGAGCTTGGGGCAGCCGATCTTTGGAGCAGCAGCAGCAGCAGAAAGGCCCCTCTCAGTGCTTTCTGGGGCTCGTATTTTGCTGCCTCCCAACGGGCCCCGGGGAAACGCTTATCCTTTGCCAGTTTCTTCTCCGCTGCTGGCAGCACAGTTTGAAGGTCTTTATTTATCAGTTTTGTCGCTGCTGCTGCCTCCGCGGCCTTTTGCTGCAGCAGACACGAGCAGCAGCGCGGAAGCAGCAGCAGCACCAGACGAGGCCCTCGCCGTGCCAGATCCGCTGCAGCCGCAGGCGCTGCTGCCGCTGCCTGGGGCGGTGGACTGCAGTGCAGCAGCACTGCAGCAGCAGCAGCAGCAAGGAGACGGCGACGCGCCAGAAGCAGCAGCAGCAGCAGCATACCAACTCTTTTGCCACTCGCTCGTAAGAGGCTGCCCCGCCATCAGCAGCTGGGGAGCAGCGGCAGCAGCAGCACAAGGGGACCCAAAAGAAGAAACAGAAGAAGCAAAAAGACAAAGAGCCGCAGACACAACAGACTGCAGCTTTGGCTGCTACGCAGCACAAGACGCTCAGCAAGTGCTTTCCGGGAGGCAGTCTGCTGCTGCTGCTGCTGCTGCTGCTGCTGCTGCTGCTGCAGCACCTGCTGAGGGGGTTCTCCAGCAGTCAAGCAGCTACATAAGCAAAAAGGGCATTGGATGTGCTTTCTTTTGTCAGTAGTGGAAACAAAAAGAAATTAAAACAAAAATAATTAAGATAAAAGCAAGAAACAAAATGTAACCAAATAGATGAAAATGAGATAACTGAACTGAATGGAATCTAAGGGATAAGTGGCAGACACATGCATTTGTTTTGTCTTCTTTTTGCCTGCGGGGGGCTGTTCAAGTCCATTGCTGTTGCTGCTGCTGCTGCTGCAGCACCAGACGTTAAATTTCAGTGTTTTTGCAGGCAGTATGCTGCAAGGAAGTAGCTGCCTGTATACCACAGCATGGGTTATGGGAGCCAGAGGCGGTAGCAGCAAAGATGCTCCTCTGCAGCAGCAGCAAGAGCTGCTAAGGGGCCCGCAGCTGTTTCATTAGCAGCAGCACCAGCAGCTGTGGCAGCTGCGGGGCCTGTAGCTTAGCAGCAGCGAGGCTGCAACAGCAAGTGCAGCTGTTGCAGCTGCAGGGGCTATAGCTTAACAGTAGCAAAGCTGCAGCAGCAAGTGCAGCTGCGGCTTCGCTGCTATTGCGCGAGTAATGGCCCAAGTGAGTTGTTGCTACGTTGCTGCTGCCTTGAGGGGAGCAGCTAAAAGAGAATAAAGTGGATAATTTTGGAGTGTATTCCTCTTGTAGGGTTTAAGGTTTAGGGTTTAGGGTTTCAATGCAGCGCACAGAGACTGCGTGGGCCTCCCAGACCAGGACTTCGACCAGGCAGGGTGGGAAGAGCAGCAAAATAAAAATGCAACGAGAATGTGCAAACGGATTATATCACGTTAAAGGGAGGAGTTGAGGTGTACGTACACCTCAACTCCACGCGGAGGAAAAATCGATTTCGGCTGCCGCTGGCTAGAGCCCAAACCCTAGCCGCTAAACCCTAAACCCTAAACCCTCGCTGACAGGCAAAGCCTCCAAAGCCCCGACCACCCGGAGTTTCTCTTCATCCTTTTACCATTGTTTGCTGTCTTTCCATTGAAGTATTCCCCGGAAACCGCAAACCGTAAACCCTTAACCCTAGCCTCGCCGCACAGTCAGCTGCACGGTTTCTAGATAGCACAGGTGGCAGCAGCTCCTTCCTTCGATTTCCAAGTGTACATACACCCGAAATCCACGTAGTAGACTTTTTCATTGTTAGGAAAACGAAAGAGGCAGAAAGAAGCAGCGCTGCTGCTGCTGCTACTGCTGCTGTTGCTGCTGGTGCTGCTGCTGAACTGCCGACACAGCTCAAAGCAGCAAAGCGTGCTTCGTTGGAGCAGCAGATATTTCTGCCTGTATCCGAGGCTCACCTTGCCTTCTTTTCCCTTCTAATACATTTGCCGTGGTCTTATTCATTGCTGGTTTTTCTTCTGCTGCTGCAGCTGCCGTTGCTGCTGCAGCAACTCGAGCGTCTGTTGCTTGCACTCAATTCAGTGTCTACATCCCCCGCTTCACCTTCGCACGTCTTCCTTCTGCACAGCAACCGCGAATACGCTTACCAGAAGCAACAGCAGCGGTAACAGCAGCAGCGGCAGCAGCTGTAGCAGCTGGTCTTCATGCACGGCCTTCAAGTGCTTCCTCGCCACAGCCCAGACGGCTACATCCTTGGCATCCTTTATGTGCCTTCCCTTTGATTAGTTTCTGCTGCTGCTGCACTTGCTGCTGCAGTTGGAGTTGGTATCAGAGGTCCCTGAGTAAAAGCGGGAGGCCAAGCAGCAGCAGCAGCAGCAGGAGCAGGAGCAGGAGCAGCAGCAGCAGCACAGGTGCCGGCACCTATCTCATAATTGTCAGGCTTTCCCCTTCCGCACAGCAATGCCTGCTGGCCTCACTAGTGGCTGCCAGCTGGCGGCGCTGCTGCTGCTCTGCAGCATTTGCGTGGCTAGCAGCAGCAGCAGCACGCTAGCTCCTGCACTGGGTCAGTCGCTGCAGCCTACTGAGCAGAAGCAGCAGCAGCAGCAACAGCAACAGCAGCAGCAGAAGCAGCAGCAGAAGGAACCATACTGCGAGGAGCCAACAGCAGTGGGCCTGGGCATTGCCTGCCCCCCGAGCAGCTCGCGCCCCATCTCCGCAGCAACTGCTTCCGTAGCAGCAGCAGCAGCAGCAGCAGACCTGAAGCAGCAGCAGCTCATCTTAATAGCAGCAAATGTCCCTATGGGCAGAGACCGTGTCTTTGGCAGCCACGGGGGCCCCCGGCAGGAGCGGCTGCAACCATACATGAGGAGCTTGAAGAAGCTGAATGAGCGGCGGCAGCGTGCTGCAGCAGCCAGAAGCAGCAGCAGCAGCAGCGCGGCCTCTCAGCAGCAGCAGCAGCAGAGCACACACACAGACTTGTCCCTCGCAGACGCAGCAAGAATCCTCAAAGCTGCTCTCGGAGACACTGTAGACCAGCCCCTGACTTTCTCCTTTTTGCGGCGGCTGCTGAACGCCATCAATGTGCCCATTGCCGCAGCACCAAGCCAGCAGCAGCAGCAGCAGCAGAAGGGAGAGGAGAGGCTGGCGCTGCCGCAGGTGCTGCGGCTGCTGCAGGTCGCAGCGGGCGCGCAGACCATCACTTCTGCTGCTCTCGATGGTTTGCTGGCAGCAGAAGCTGTGTCTTTTGTTTTGGGGGAGGAAGCAGCAACTGGAGCAGCAGCAGCAGCAGCAGCAGCAGAGCTGGAGGCCCGCCTCGAGACTCTTGCTGCTGAGTACATCGACGCAGCCACACGCTTCTACGCTGAGGGCACTCCTTATTTGCTGGCGCTGCACAGCAGCAGCAAACCGGTGCGAGACAAGATGCTGCTGCAGCTCAAGCACCTGCAGCAGCAGCAGCAGCAGCCGCTGCCGAAGCAGCAGCAGCTGGACGTGCTGCAGTCCGCGAACTCCATCCAAGCCAGAGCGACCGTTCTCGTGGCACAGAAGCTTCCGCAGTTCGTTGCTGCAGCCCTCAAGGAAAGCAGCAGCAGCAGCAGCAACTACGAGCTGCACATAGAAGTGCTGGAGGGGCTGCTGGTATCTGTGCTGCTGCACACGGAAGCAGCATACATGTTTGCTGCTGCTGACGCGGACGCGGGCGGCAGCCTGGACAGCGCGGAGTTCCTGTGTCTGCTGCTGCTGCAGCAGCTGCACCTGCAGCAGCTTTTGCACGTGGCAGCAGCAGCAGCAACAGCAGCAAATCTTCGCACGACCGCAGCAGTTCTTGACACCCCCTGGACAGGAGAACTGGGGGCGGGCTGGCTCGAGGCTGCGCCGCTGCTGCAGAAGGTGCTGCCTTCTGTTTCCTTTTGTCTTTTTGCTGCTGCAGATGCAGACAGCAGCAGCAGCCTCAGCTACGACGAGCTTTACGAGTTTCTTAATCAGCAGGACTTGCTTGTTGCTGCTGCTACTCAAACCCTTTCGGGCAAGGGCGCCGTGCTCTACCTGTAGAGCAGCAGCTGCTGCTGCGACGCAGCAGCAGCAACCCCTGCTGCAATCCAGCAGCAACTGCCGCTGCGATGCGGCAGCAACAGCAACTGCTGCTGCAATGGTAGCAGCAGGGGCTCCGGGCTTTTTGCTCTCTATTCTTGACAGACCTGCAGCGGCTGCAGCAGCAGCGAGCTGCGGAAATGACGGAGTTTTCGGCTGCTGTAGCAGGTGCAGCTGCAGCAGGTGCAGCAGCAGCAGGTGCAGCAGGTGCAGCAGCTGTAGGCAAAGACCCCGCATAAGGTCTGCAGCACGTCTTGCTGGCACCTAGTCGGGACGGTATTGCTTTAGTGCTGCACGTACAAAATATCTACCAGCAGCGGCAGCAGCAACAACAGTACCTGCTGTAGCACCAGCCTTTCCAGCAGCAGCAGCAGCAGCAGCAAGAGCTGCTGCTGCTGCTGCCAGTGCCTCCCCACTTCAGTGTTGTCAGTCTCCTTTGGTTTTTGCCCTTTCATTAATGCCTCCCTTCCCGGAGGAGTTTGCTTTAGGCAGTTGCTGCTGATTTGTTGCACGTTTGCTGCGGCAGCAGCTGCAGCAGCAGCTGCTGCAGCTGCAGCAGCAGCAGCTGCAGCAAGAGACAACGGGCCCCTATGTCCCACATGAGAAAACACAGTTTATTTTCTCTCTTTGAATTACATTGGTCCCCAACATCTGCGAGTGTGGTTTAGGGTTTAGGGTTTGGGGTTTGGGGGAGGGTTTTAGGATTAGGGTTTTGGTCCGCTGCTGCTGCTGCTAGATATTAATATCTATTCATGAGGCTATTTTTGTGTCTCTTTCGCAGCCGCTCCCGCTTTTTTGTCTGTTTCTTGCTGCTGCTGCAGCTTCTGCTGCTGCAGCAGCAACTGCAGCAGTGCTGTAGCAACTTCATATGCACTAGAACAGCAAGGGCGACACAAGCAGCAGCTGCTGCCTCTACTGCTGCTGCAGTATGTACAAGTTGCATAGATCATTAAAGCAGCAAATAGTGCAGCAGCTGCTGCTGTTACTGCATCTCCTGAAGGCGATGCCTCAATGAGCTTTACAGCAGCTGCTGCGGCCTCAAGAGCGGTAGCAGCACCATCTTTTCAAGGCGTGCTGCACCATTGCAGCTCTTGCTGCAGCCCGTTCAGCAGCAGTTGCTGCTGCTCCCTGCGCCTGCAGAAGCTGCAGCAGCAGCAGCCGCTGCTGCTGCTGGTCACAACGGCGCCTGCTCTGCCGCGTCGTGTGTGACATCTGTGGACGAGTGCTGCAGCAGCTCCGGCAGCCACCAGGGGGCACAGCAGCTGCAGCAGCAGCAGCCGCTGCTGCTGCCGCTGCTGCAGATCCTGCTTCTGGTGCTGCTCATGCTGCTAGTCACACCAGCGCCTGCTCTCCCGCATCGTGCGTGATGCCCGTGGGATGGTGCTGCACCAGCCCCAGCAGCCACCAGCGGTGACAGCTGCTGCTGCTGCTGCTGCTGCTGCTGCTGCAGGTCACAGCAGCGCCTGCTCTGCTGCGTCGTGGGTGACGTCTGTGGGGGAGTGCTGCAGCAGCCCCAGCAGCCACCAGGGGTGGGGCTCAGCAAGCGGCAGCGCAAAAGGACTTATGCGTCTGATGTTTTCCACAAGAGTTTCTTCGCAGCAATTTGCTTCGAAAAGAGCCAGCGGCACGAAGACCCCCGTGCGCTGCTGCAGCTCCTGCTGCAGCAGCTTCCACAGCCGCTGCGGCTGCGCAGCAGCCGCAGCGGCGGCAGCAGCCGCTGCGGCGGCCTGCGGGGAAGCCGCCGGCAGCTGCTGCTGCAGCAGCAGCAGCTGCTGCTGCTGCTGCTGCTTGAAACACCAAAAGGTCGTGGGGCCCCCAGCCACTGCAGCAAGAGCTGCTGCCAAGTGGCGCCGCAGCGCAGCAGCTGCGTGTCTCTTCCAAATGCCCCTTTTGAGGCCAGTGTAGAAGGCGTCGAAGACAAAGAGGCCCCCCAGCAGGCTGAGTGGCAGCAGCAGCAGCGCAGGCAGCAGCAGCAGCAGCAGCAGCGGCAGCAGCTGCGTCACCGGC